ATAGCCGAGACTTCATGAGAAACATTGAAATGTCTTCAGCTTCAAGACGAGACGATGAATCTTTCGGCTCTTGACGCTGAGCCGAGCTTCTGTGGCTGGCTTGGAGAATTTCTGCTCATCATATAGCCAATCCGGATGCTCACTCGGTTGTGATCTATCAGAAACCATAGTCAGCACAGTATAATGGTTGACCATCTCTTCGTCCTCCAGATGTAGGGCCTACAAAACGACCTCTGGTGGGTATTCTCCAGACGATCGATGGCGGCAGTAAATTGCTGAGTGACCTAGCAGATCGAGAAGCTCTTGACTAGAATCGAAACGTCGTTTCGTTTCGTCTTTCTTTTCATCAATCTTTCTTCGGTGGAAGTAGTGAACGAACAAGTCGGTTTGTAACTGCCATCTATAGAGTTAGTTCCAACACTGAACGGGGATTGACGGCCTTACCATGCGGCAACAAACCGCGATTCGAGAACTTTTGTGCGACTTGACACGAGGTCGAGCTGTCGAGTGACATGATGAGCTCGGTTACTAGATACCAAGTGTGCCTATATGATGCGGAAGACTTCCAGAATTTCCACGACCAATCTCTCATGACGCGGAATCCGACTAGTTCTTGAAGTGCGAAGCGGAGGCAACGTCTTCAAGCTGAAGGCGCTCGAACCCTAGCCATGGATTGCCTCGTGATCTGCTTGTCAACTGGTAATAAGTGGGAATGGCTTGGAATGGCTCCTCAAATGTCTCTCTGTATCTGATCCTCGTTGGCAAGGTGACCTGAGTATGCGTCGAGGAACGCCCAGTCGGCTCGTGGATCGGACCACGATGCAGACGTCTCCTCTTTGAACAAATCAACCGATCATCGGATTTTCTGGAAAAGCACCAAATCGGCAAATTCGATATCGGTATTAAACGCCATCTTGGGCGATCTATATACCTAGCCTGCCAGATTATCGAATACCACGGCCGCTATTCGGGATGACACACTCTACAAAGCAACAGCATGGTATAGGCTACTGAAGTTGACGCAAAGTTGTCGGAAAGTTCGATTGCAGCTTCGAAAGAAGGACATCTAAATCGGTCGGCATAGGCGCTATAATGAGCACCATGTACGACTCCCATGGAGCGCCACAAACCGTAGCTTCTCAACTCCGAAACGAAAAGGCGATGGGATTTTTTGAATGGCTCAGAGTCCAACGAAAGTCAAGCATAAGAGAATCGAGACGGATCAGCGTGAAGACATGCAGCTAGATAGGGGATGACAATATCGAGTTCAGAAGCCCGTGCGAGTAAGATCGTGCCTTTGCAGGCCTGATCCAATTGCAAGGGAGCAGGAAACTAGCCGCAGATCCTATATTATTAAAACGATTAGCTTTCTCTTCACGCCATGCGGAGTCAATGACAGTCATCTGCTGGGATGGGCGAAGCCCTGAATGACCTCAGTGCGGTGATACCGTGTCTCCGTGCGACCCAACTGTTATCGTTGGATGTCTTCCACTCGACATATGAAATCAAGCAGGATCTGGCGTAGCCTACTCTGTCAAGATCAATTCGCGAGCAACTCCTAGCTCTCGGAGTAATTCGTCACCCTTCGGAAATGAATTGCATCCCGTTTTGGACCCTCAGCTGTGTGACACTCGTACATGATGGACCAGTTGCAACATGCCGAGCTCTGCAGGGGTAACGTTATGTCCTCTGTGCAACCGTGAATAATCGTACCACTGTGACATAGTTGAAGCATCTCGCAGGACACAAGCAAATTGGTCGAAGCTACTTGGACTCTGTGCCGACTACTACTCGAGGGACAAAGTCAGCCGTCGAGTCTGTCTACAAGAGACATGCATGGTACCTTTTTCGAGGAAATTCCGTATGGCGCCAGGACAATGAGTCCATGGCTGGAACTACTGGTCTATGAGAAGAAGTGCGTTGGGTCTCCGGATGCTAGACAGTTGGAAATGCGTCGACCAGTTGGACTCGTTGCCAAACACAGACAACGAAAGCTGTCGGCATACCCGTAACTTCACTCAAGAACAACTACGGGGCTCTCTTTCCCCCCTAGAATTCATGGTTCGTATAATTAAGGTACTGGTCTGTGACTATGCCGTGGATATTAGTGGGGTTGGCGCAAACGGTCGCGTTTCCTTCGAGCTTTGTCTGTCTGACCATGCACCACGGCTGACAGACCATTGTTCGAGGGAACGGTGAAAGCGTCCGATCATGTTAATGGAACCTAGGGGGGCCGGCCCTTGGTGGTGTGATGTTCCGCTCAGACTCGAAGGCGCAGCGATAAATGAAAGTAATAGCTTGTCGATGATGTCGTCTTAGTATTCTAAGACGTGTAGTTTGCAGAGCCTCAAAGTTGAGATAATATGTGCAGGGTTGAAGCGTCTCAAGATCCCGACGTCAAGCAGGGGCCAAGAATGGTGGCCATTCACCATTCTATAGGTCAACCAGGATCCCTAGCCGGCACGTCAGAGGCAGAAGATCAACGACGATTGTCCATTCCATAGAAGAATCCTACTTGTAACATTAGCACTGGACCAATGGTATAAATATTCGACCAGAAGCCATGTCAGGCCTTGAAGTCAGCTTCTCGCGAGTGAGGGATGTCGGAACCTAAAGCTGCGTTAGGCGCACTGGATCACCTGGTATTCGCCGTTGCTTTCGACAAAGCATCGCATACATGCTACGCATTTTCGAGCTGACCTCTATTGTACGCCACATGAAAGATCATGATGCAAAACATGCAGACCTCGAAAGCTACCGTCTGACTGGAACGATGCTGTGGCCAGATCCGGGACCCCGAGATCTCAATAGGCGCCGCCGTTCTGTGCTTTGCATGTCGCACCACTAAAAGGCCGCTAGTTGATAGCTAGGGTCAGTAACTAAGTAAGGGAAGTCGGTGAGGGCTGGTGGCCGATCGTACATGAGGAATGGCGGCATCGGCTGCATATTCCGAGCACACCTCCAGCCGGCCAGCTGCATGCCTCGTGCTCTACGGGGCGTCTGCTCGCCAGCACTGCGTTCTCGATCTAGTCGTGTTGTATGCGGTTGTTCAAGAGGCTGGATGACTAGGTATGGCGGTAGGACGGGTGGTTGGTAGTGACAATGGCTGTTGAATCCATGTACTAGGCCGGGACTTAGAGCGGACGTCCCTAGCAGAGCAAAGCAAGATTGACGTATCGATCGAGGCGTCTATCAGTATGCCTCTTGGCAAAGGCGGCAAGTTGACGTAGGTGATTTCCCAAAGTATCATAGAGTTCTGCCCACTGTATGACGACAGATCCCAAAGGTATTTGCCGCTTTGAAATCGTTACATGCTACAATGATGGCACAACACCCGGGTGCTCCTCGAGAGGCACAGGGACCAGAGCCATGGTAGAGTAAAGTGTGGAATCTGCAAGGCGGTTGTCTGATGCCCCTGTAGATCGTTCCCGTGATGCTAAGCTGCTCTGACTCGTAGCGCCATGCTAATCGGTGGATATCAAAGAGTATGTTGTCTCAGAGGACTGGTGCGGTGGCTGTCCTTTGCATCCATCTATCCGTCTATATTTGTCAAGGTGCAGGACGTGGATAAGTGGCACTGGCCACCCCCACCAGTCGGGCAGTATCATATATGACGGGCGAGAGCTGATGCCGGCGAACTTTTGCTAGGCTTCGACGACCAAGCGTTGCTGGTTGGGATCGGAGAATTAACTCGGGAGCCATCGCTAAAGCCAATAGTGCCGCAACTTATTCTGAAAGCAAGGCGCTGGGACCTGGAGCCAGCAAACTGGCTCGCTTTGGAGTTTGGGCTGCCATTGTCGCGTTGTCTATTAGTCCCGATAGTCAAACCAGGAGGTTTTTGGTAGCACGTATCCAAGGCTCCCATTTTCCGAAACGTTTCCGATGAGTACTTAGTCCGAATAATGGCTGTGACTGTCCCCGAAATAGCGTGACATGGTAAGCTGCTCAGTTTGAGAGAAATGTGGTGGATAACTTGAATTGAGGGAGGGCAGTGTATTTGGAATCGGCTTCCTTTGGGGTGTGTGTCCTCCGTACATTTTGGAGCTGGACCCTGACTGGGAGACGGGCAAGGACGTGCGGTAGGGGAGTATGGAGTGGCTCAGGGGGTTCGTTGGTCGGCGAAGGGGATGCTCTGGGCCCTGCCCGGTCGAATCAGATCTGCGCTGTCCAGAGAAGGCGAATCGAACATTGGGACCGGGCAGACGGACAGACGGGAGATCAACTTGGGGATCCTTCAGAGACAGACGAGTTGACAATGTCTCGGTCGACTGAGCCACTAGTTCATCCAGCTTCCTGCTTAATCCAATGAGCTCCCGTGCTTCTAATCCGAAAGTCTATAGCCGCACGAGGACGCACCGAATCAGACAGATAAAATCAGCGATAACTACTGTACGGATACAAGCAAGAGACAACTACTCCGTAGGTACTCCGCAGCGGCTTGAAGTCGAGAATCGTGTTGGGCCTCGATCATTCACTTCTCGGCCGGAGCAGGGGTTGAATCCCTGCAATCACGCACGCCTGTCGCTCACGGCTTCGTCCGCAGGTCCGGAGAGGTCTTCTTGTCGACGTACGAATACCGATGTATGTGTTGCTGGGCCGAGATATAGCAGGAGGCCATGTTGTGCAACATGATCGTGTTGGCGAATTCTGCTAGATCGGTGAGGTCACGACGACCCGTCGATGTGATTGCTACAGGAATTAACCTCTGTATTGGACAAGACCCAGGAGACGGTAGAAAAGTCAGTTCCATGGGAGGACGCAGATCTCGGAAATAGGTGTGGTGGTGGTAAATGGGATGAATATCTGTGTCTGTATGGATCACATCGCGACGTTGACGTGTAAGGGCCGAAAGTACGTGTCTCATTTGGTGTAAGATCACCGAGCCGTTATGGCTTATGTAACGGGTCTAGGCTTAGCTGCGTTCCCCACGCCTGCACTCAACCGGAAGATGCGACGAAATCTGCGGTTCGTTGAGCGCTTGGAAAAGCGTCTTGTGTACCTCAGTGCGGGCGCGACCGGACGCGCCTGATCTAGGCTGTTGCATGATCCGCTAAGATACTTAAGCAGCTGAGAAATGGGCCGGCTTGCCGGAGCTTTGAGGCCGTGCCTGTGATGATGGCCGTCCCGTGCTCGGATTATAGAGCGCCTCCATAATTGTGAGTTGACAATGGGTTGGTTGGACTGGCTTTGCCCGCCTGGGCTGCATTATTCGTCGCTTGTCCAGAGGTGCAGGGGCAGCTGAAAGGCATCGTCATGGAGGAGTACCTAGTCACCCGCGGCGGTGATGTTCCCCAAAGTACCCTGGCGTGAGACGCAGCCGGAACTGGTGGCTTCGATGGCTTGCACCAGTGACATCGTCTTAGCCTGGCCGTTTGCTTGCTTATCCTTTGGCGCCCATCAATCAGGCTTCCTAGCCGACCACTGGCGTGTGGTGTTTCCCTCAGAGTCAAGTCGGCTTGTCGCACCCATGTCAATCAACTCTCTCTCTCTTTCTCTCTCTCATACGAATGCCTTGGGAAGCAAAATGGTTGACGAATATGAAAATGGGTTGGCGGGAGCTTGGGAAGTTCAATGGGCGTGGGTGGAAAACGGAGAAGGCTCGAATCGACGAAAGGGCCTTGTGCTGTTCGTATGGAAAACTCCTTCGGCTATCTCGCGGCTCGGATGCTTGGGTGCGTGATTGCAGCCATTCGACCGAGATGACGGTTTTGATGGTAATAGAGATGGCTAACCAAACCAAGGGCGGGCACGGATGAGGACCGTTTGCCGCCTTCACACAGGTGCTCTAAGTTTGCTAACACGTATAGACAGGCTCTCATAGACAATGGAGGGATTGCCCACCCTGCTCGAGGTGGTACCTAAGCCAGGCAAGATCCAGTCATGATATCGGAGTCGGATGGCGGAGGCGAGAGAGAGGGAAAAAGAATGCGTATGACGGACGACTTCGGACTGACTGGTGGGCTTGTGTCTCGATTGTTCTTCAGATTTCTTCTTTTCTTTTTTCTTCCTTTTCTTTGCAGTCGTCCAGGTGGCAGGCAGGGGCCAGGGGTGAAGTGCAGAGAAGTTGAGAAGCCCATGTTTGTCAGTGAGGGGCGTTGAGCTGGCAGGTGACCGCGTTCTTCATCTCAAATTGTCGGTTACCAGGCTGGATTGGATGGAGGTGGTTGTGGTCTTGTCCGTGATCCTGTTCCACTGCCAGTGCCAGTCACCAGTGTAGGGTAGTAAGACACGGACGTCGAACAGTGGCATGCATGAATTCCGCGGTACCTGAGATCTAAGCCTGCATCTACGTCAAGACTCAGGCAATCGGAAAACGAAAAAGGGATAGCCAATCGATGTCTCGCCAAACAAACAAACCCTCTACCTTGGCTTCGGGTACGGGACTCCCGTGTTCGTGCGAGAGGCAGAAATTGCAATGGCGGACGGGACAGAGTGTGCAGATGGAATGTGTTTGGTCATTTTCAAAGGTTGGATGGAAGGACTGGACGTCTGGAACCTTGCGCAGCTGGTCCCTGTGGTCCCTGGGCAGGTACGTACACCTGAGGTAAGGTAGGGCAAGGTACGTACTGGTAAGGTGGCCCGGGCTTGTTGGTCCGCCCGGGCGGGGAGGGTAGGTGCTACTGGTCTGCTGCTACCTCTGGTGGTGGTAGGTAAGGTACCTAAGGAAGGAGGCCAAGGTCGACACCTTCTCTCATTTCACGCCCCTTCCTGACCTCAATTACTTCAAGGTACGGAAAACTAACCAGACCAAGTTACCTCACGTCAAGGGAAAACATGCAACTAAGTACGGAATGTTTTCTTCCTCTTCTTGTTACCTAGGTTGACTAAAGTGCTTTTAGGCTTCAGCTTACAGACACCTTCTCTGTGCTTGACACTCGCGAGTGTCGCCCTACTGCCAGGGATCCCACCCTTCATCTCATCCCAACGCTTCGTCCAATGACCTCTTTCCCGGCCTCGACTCCGGCTGAAGTGCTTTTAGCCTTGGCACCCCTGCTCTGCATCTGCTTCCTTGAAGTACTGTCACGATACTTCTTATTCTGAGTGAGAGTCGTCTCCCTTTTCGAGGAACGGATAGTCGCTGACCAGATTATCGCAGATCCGGCATGGGAATTTACGGGATGATGGGAATTTCGGTACAGAGTATCCGCACAATCAGTAATATCCATGGCTGGGGTTACCGTGATCCATCATTTCCGCCTGGGGTTGCTCGGGTTGAGAACGGTATGGGTACGCATACAGTTACCCAATTTCGATAAACCTGGGCGGGTTTCCTTCATCTCACACCCGAGGACAGCAACCTCGCCTTGATACTCACATTTGTTCGCTTCACAATATCAACCTGCCCCAGCGGCCATTCCTCGACTTCATATTCTGCGAGATACAGCGACGAATACCGTGTACCTCGGCCGGTTTTGCATGAGACCAATGTGGAAGATATCTGTCGATATTCTTAGTTTCCTGCCCCTTGATCGGAATTCCCTGCCATCTCGTCTATGATCTCTCTTCCAGTTTTGTCTTGTAAGTCTTGTCTCTCATTCTTCCGTCTCCCCACTAATGAGATTGAACAGAGTTGGTGGCCGAGATGGAGGCCCCCGTATCCTTTCCGCCAGCCGCGTCCAATCCACTTTCACTGTGTACCTACCACCTAGCATCTCCACTCGCCATCATCCGTGCCACCCTTCTCTTCCGACGGCGGCGAGGACGACGGACAAGCCAGCGCAAACACTATTTCCACACTGTTACGGAGACGCAGACGCAGACGCAGGCGCAGAAGGGCAGAGCAGACCCTGAAAAGGGTCAACACGGACCAATCACCCCCACAAATACCTTACCCAAACGCCTCCGGGCTCGTCCCGCCTCTCCGTCTCCTCCCTCATCCAGTGTTCTGGTCGGTGCTCCCACACCTCCCTGCCGAAACATTCCACCGCGCACACAATGAGAAGTGAGGTGGACGGAAGAGTACCTAGTGTATGCAGATGCAACCACAACCACGACCACGGCAACAACCACCAACAACACCATCACAAGAAGCCATACCGGTGCTTGTACCTGCGCCTGCGCCGCGCCAACCAACATCACACGCCTCGCACACTATCAACGGGATGGCTACGCACTATCCCCCAAACCTACCGGACTAGCTAACTACCGGGCTACCGTGCCTACCTTGCTGCTAATTCGCAGGTACCTACTTCCTTCTTCTTCTTCTGTTCTGGGCTGTCATCCCGCCTACCTATTTTCATTCCCTCCTACCTGAGGTCGTTGACCTCACACGTCTCTATCTAGACGCTCAAGTTCTACCGGATCACGCACTCATAGGCCCGAGAGGGAGGCGGATGGGTAAGTAGACAAACAGGTAACGGTACATGCCATGAGCGGACCGAACACATTTAACGACCCGACCTGGACCACATACGACCGCCGCCGCCTCTTGCTTGTTTCCGCGCCCCGTCCATCCTCTTTCCCCCCTTGTATGCACGTATGTACATGTGCGTGCGTGCGTGTGTGTGTGTGTGTGTGCCTTCTGCCCTCCTCTTCTACTTCACCGGATTGGTGTGCCGTGGGTGCAGACGCGATCTCGACCCAAGTTGCGGTAGGTAGCCATGTCACATTTTGATGTAGGTACCCTCTCCTCGGCTCTGCCCCTGCTGCACCTAGTATGTACCCTCCGACCACCTCATTCCGCTTCGTTGCCATACTTTTTTTTTCTTCCCTTTTTCCCTTTCTTTCCCTCTGCTACCCTTCCTTTCCTATCATGTACCTTATTCTACGGGGTGGGCGCCCCGTCCATTTTCCTCAACGTCAAGCACCTTAGAGGAAGGCAAGGCAAGGGAAAGAAAAACAAGGGACCATTTTACTCGTACATACCTTTTTCCTCCCCTACCCCCCTCGTCCTCCTCGTACGGATACACGCAAACTTCTTGCACACTGTCCAGAGTATATTAAAGTCGGCCGGCGTCCCGTCCCATGTTCCATCGTCGACGTTTCTTTCGCTCGTCATATCCCGTGCTCTGACAAGCCCTGGACTGAGAACCCTTATTCCGTTGGGTGCTGTCATTGCTTCTCCGACTCCATCTCCATGCAGGTCTGGCTCCGCATGTGGTCCTGCTCCTCCCTCTCCTCCCCGTCCCGCATGCCTTCCTTGCCTGATCAGCGTCAGATCTGTGGCTCCAACCGACCTTCTTTCAAATTCTCTGCCAACCTCCGAGTCGACCCTGAGACAGAAGACACAGAAGACACAACATCGCAACCATACTTTGCAACCTCGTCGGACGCCGTGTTATTAGACACATTCACGTACGAGGTTGCATCATCCGGCTGCCCTATTGTCCTTTCCATCTGGAGCTCTCTTACTCGCCCTTTCCGCTCTCCTCCTGTCGCGCAAAAGTCGTTGCCCTCCTTTCCCCCGGTTACCGCCTGCCGCTCACTGGTTCTACCTGCGTCTGATACCATCAGAACGCGACTGCCAAAACCCAATCCGCCATCGACGACAACGACGACGAGGGCCGATTCCGGATAAGGCGCCTGCTCTCGCGGCAGCCTCGTTTTCTCCTGTCGAGGACTCATGGCATTCCACCACTCGAGCGGCTCATCCGCAGCCTCGGGTTTTGAGTATGCGCAGGTAGGCCACGCCTTTGCCGGTCACCAGAGTGCTCCTCCGCTCAATGGGCCCCCTTTTCAGCCGTTCCAAGATACCCAATTCGACATATTTGAATGGTATCCAAAGTTCCAATCATGCCTCCGCTACTTCTTGGACCATGCTCAGTACAGCGGGCCCATTCAGGCTGTGGCAGCCTTTGTCAACATTCAACTCCCGTTTCAAAAGGCCCACAACCCGGTACTCTCCTCCAAACACACCGGTCCCAACTCCCCCGCCGGGCCCGGGCCCTCGACTCCGTCCACGGCTCGAGCCGCCGGCAAGATGCCAATCAATGCCCAATTGCCATCCTCTACTCATGCAACACTTACACCTTATATTCGACGCTTGGTGGCGACCGGTTTCGATTACCCCGCCGTGTTACACGGCTTCTTTGGTGACGATTGGGTTGGCGGAATCGGCCCCATGCACGAAGCTGAGCGCCGCAACTACATGTTTGCCGCCAAGAGCGACACCTGGCTCAAGGTGAAGTCACACTACGACATGGACGGCGAGCAGCAAGTCCCCTTTCTCCGGCCCTTATCGAATGTTACCGAAACGGAAATTCAAAGCGCGGAAACCCAATGGAGCGAGTGGCTCGCCATGCAGGATTGGATGTTGGGACCACGGGCACCAGACCAGGAACAGGAAGTGAGGATCAAGCAGGAAGACGACTAGAATCCACACCGAAGTCACGTCATGCCTCTACGCTTAGGGTGGCGGCGGCAGAGAGGAGGCATTTTGCATTTCACAGCTTGGCAGGACAGCATTCGGCGTTTTTTCATCACCATTCGGTTCTACAAACGGCAGCACGAGTATACATGCAGGCGCAGAAAGAGCTGTACGATGTCGAGAGGCGAGAGAGCAAACGGTTTCTGAAAGAAAGAAGAGGGCGGCGTCCGCATCCATCCGCCTCAACTTGTTAAGATCTCATTCAAGCTGCCGTAAGATACACAGCATGTGTTGCTCGGTACCAGACTTTTGTTTTGCTTTTTTTTCCGGCGGCGGCATATTCTCATGATTCCCTTCCTCCTTTGGATAGAGGCGCGCGTACAATGGCGGTCGGGGGGCAACGTCACTTAGTCATGGTGATCTCATGTCATTTTCAGTTTTAACGACTTTTTCTTAACGATACGATAATGCACAAAAAAAGACACACGATGATGCACATTCATGCCAAGACTTTTTACACACACACATAGATCCGCCGTGAGCTTTTTTTTCCCCATTAACACATTAATGCGCCTGATTTTCCAGCCATGCTTTATTTTGACAAACAGGTTTGGGACGTCATCGCCAACCTCGCCATCTCGGTATGGAGATGATGTGGTCGGCAATGCGCCGACGACATCGACGTCTATTTCTTCTTCTTGGCTATCCTCTTTTGCGCCCTCAGGTCCTTCTTCATTCTCGAATCCACAATAGTGTAACGACCCTTGACACCCTTGGGGCGACCCTGGATACCGCGGTTGGCACCTAAAGCGACGGTTAGCAAAGTCAAGGTTCACGGATTCTTGTGGTGTATAAAGGAGGGAAAAGAACTCACCCCTGGCGATAATCAAAGTAGGCTTGGGTCTTCTCTTGACCTTGCCGGCCTTGGCCATGAGCTTTGCGATGCTCTCTGCCTTTTCCTTCTCCGTCATGCCCTCCTCGTTGGCGAGCGAGTCCGACTTCTTCTTGAGCTTCTCGAGGCGCTGCGCCGTCTTGAACTTCTTGCGCGCCTTGGCCTCGCGCACCTTTTTGATCGGACGCGCGTTGTAGGCGCGCATCTTTTCGCGGATGGCGGCCGCCGCGGCCTTGGTGATGGGCTTCTGCTGCTTGTCGTGCCGCGTCTCGTCGTCGATGAACCAGTCGGGGAGGCCGTCGCGGTCCTTGAGGGCCCACTTGTTGAAGCCGTCGTCCATGAGGTCGCTTTTGGTCTTTTCGCCCGTCGCGAGCTGGTGGGCGAGTGTCATGGCCTCGGCTGTGATGATGTCGATATCTGGTGGCTTGTCAGCACGAGGTCTCTATCTACGAAAGGGGGTGGACGCTGGGTCCAGGTAGGTAGGTAGCTAGACTTACCGAGTCTGCCGTCCGGCCGTCTCTTCTCCTGGTTCTCCCAGTCCTCCTCTTGGTTCTTGACGACCTCGAAGCCGGCGTCGTCTTCGCTCTCGGAATCTGAGCCAAAGCCGTCGGCGGCCTTTTGCTTGGCCTCCTTGGCCTTCTTCTTCTCGTCCTTTGCCTTCTGCTTGCTCTCGCTTGCCTTGGCCTTTTCTTCCTTTGCCTTCTTCTTGTCTTCCTTTTCCGTCTTGGCCTTCTTCGGTTTCGGCTCCTCTTCAGCAGGCTGGTCCTCAACGCCCCATTCCTCGTCGTCAACGTCTCCCATGTCTATATCCTTGAAGATGTCTTGACCAAAGAACGCCGATGCCCGCTTCGACAAGTTGCCGTTCTCGGCTGTGGTGTCTAGGTCCGTAACCAGGGGCTTTGCATTCTCGTCTTCGTCCTCGTCGTCGTCGGAGCTGTCGGAGTCCATTTCCATGTCCTCATCGCTGTCGCTCTGTTCGCCGCCGGACACGCCCTCCCACTCGCCATCCTCGCCCTCTTCGCGGGCCTGCTTGGCGCGCCACTTGGCATCGGCCGCTGCCTTGCGCTCCTTGAAGTTGTCGTACATGCCGTCCAGCTCGCGCTCGAGGCGATCTTCCTCCGGGTCACTCTCATCGTCAGAGTACACGATACCAGCTTCGGCTTCCTTGGATTTCTTCTCACTCTCCTTGAGAAGCGCCATCTTGCCGCGGGAAATCTTGTTGATGCCGCCAGCCCTGTCGGCCGTCTTCAAAGCGAACATGGCATCCGGGCCAAGGGGTCCGGCCTGCTCCATACCAATATCCATTGGCGCCGTCATGTTCATCTGCATGCGTACAATGTCTTTTTGCTTCTTCTCGTTCTCCTTCCTCCTCTCCTTCTTTTTCTTTGAGTCGTCCTTGTTCTTGAGCGCCTCCAGCTCCTGTTGGATCCGCAGCTCCTCGTCCATCGACTCGACCTCTGCAACCTCCTCGCCCACCTGATCTTGCAGGGACTTCTTCTCTTGCGTTGTCTTCTTGGTCGGGAAACCGAAGATTTCTCTGACCTTGAGACGCCATTTCAACAGCTGCTTGAACTCTTTTCTACCAAGAACCTTCAAGTCTGCGCAGCTCCTGCGGATCTCGTCTGTCGTTTCAGGAAGCTTGTCAAGCGCGGCCAAAGCCACGTCTCCGTTGGCGGGCTGATCAAAGGACAGCTGATTGGTTTGGCCGAGAATTGCAATGGGATCGGCCGTTTGAATGAACTCGCTCGCCGATACGACTTTGTGCTGCGTGTAGTCACCCTCCTCGTAACCCTCACGCTTGCGCTTCTTCTGCTCTGGGTTGTACACCTTGGCCTCATTGTTGGGAGTCGCGTCCTTGAGCTCGGCGAAGACGGCGCGGGGGTCGAGAAATCGGGGATCGATGCGCTTCGGGGCCTTGAAGCCCTTGCAGACGACGAAGATTTCGGCAGACACGTTTCTCGAGGAAGGAGGCTTGGTCGCCTCGACCTTTGTGAAGAGCTGGTTGAAGACCCACAGTAGGGGGTTGTAATCCTTAGATCGGAAGACCTTGGTAACGAAGGTACCGCCCTCTGCCAAAAATTCCGTCGCAAGCTTCATCGACTGCAGCACCAACTCGGCCTGGTTGAACGAATCCTGGTTCCACGCAGTACCGACGTTGGGCGCACCATCGTGAAGAACACAGTCTGCCTTCCATGTCTTGAGATGCGATCGGATCGTGGCTCGACATTTCTCGGTCGTGATATCGCTTTGGAAGGTGATGACCTTGGGAATTGGCTTGATGGGCGACAAATCGACACCGACAATTAGAGCACCGACAGGGCACGTTTCCGCTGCGACTTGACACCATGACTGTAAAATGTTAGCAAGAAGTCATGCGATTGAGTTGTCCTTCACGAGGGGAGGAGGCTTACACCGGGCGCAGCGCAAAGATCGACGACGACCTTGCTCTTCTCCAAGAAGCCATACTTCTTGTTCAGCTGGATCAGCTTGAACGCTGCTCTGGCGCGGTATCCCTTCTCTTTGGCGAGCTTGTACCACTTATCCAAACGTCCTTTTCCGTGCTTCTTCTGGATCGCCATAATGTCTGAAGGGCGAGGCCAAGTCGAGATGCACGGGGAATTGTTGCGGGAGTTGAGAAGCTCTTCTGCAACCACAGAGCGTCCTTCTCTGCAGGATTATCGACTTTCGGACCCGCCCCGCCGCCTCGACTTTCGCAACGTCCCTTCTCTCAGATTTTTTTTAGCGGAGCAGCAGGGGAGCGATAAGAATCACGTGGAGATACCACTAGCGCATGATAATGTGGGGGACCCGCGCTCGGTTCATCGGATGGAAATCCATTGTCAATTCCATTAAACATTCTCGGGTGGGTCTCCGCGTTCACCACGCGCACCGCGACGTCGTCGCGTAGAGAGCTGCGCTAGGGTCAAGAGGGAGTCTCGATTGGGCAAGTAAGACGTCAAGAGCTTTACCTACCATAATTAGATACCTTGCTTCAAACCTAACTGTTCAAATTCGGCCATCACCACCCCCGCCTGCCGGATCATACGCTCCCTTCCTCTGTCCTCAAAGACGTTTCTGTCTGCTGTCTGTTTCTTTTATACTATTAGGTAGCTATTGAGTCTAGAGCCGAATCGTCATCGTCATCACCACCTCCAGCGTCATGGTCTATCACGGCGGCATGGCCAGTCCGCCACCGAGCGATGGCCTCGTTCCAGCATCGTCTCCTAACTTCCCTTCCTCCCCGCCGTCGCGGATGTATCGAAAGGAAAAGAAGAAGTCCATCTTGACGCCCCGGAAGTTTCGTCGTTTCTTCACCCCCCGCGGAATGCCCTCACAGATATCCCGGGAAAGACCAGCCCTCGGCGAGCTACGCAGTCCAGCACTCAACGTTCAACCAACACCTCCACGATCCAGCCCTCGCTTCAACGAACCGATATCACCCACTTCGAACCACAGCAGCAGTGTACTTTCCCCTTTTGGCAGCGAAGATGGCCCGAGGAAGCGGAAGCGGAGCGTCGTCAACGCTATACCCATGAAGTTGCCACAGCCTGGCCGGGGTTTGAACACGAAGCGTTCAAGGACTCAACTGGAGGACTTGGAGGAAGACTACCCCCTCGGACGAAGCCCTATCGCGAGGTCACCGTCGCAGCGGGATGAGAATGCCGATTCCGAGGATCACTCTATGGGTTCGCCTGAGATACTCTCGCCCTCGGCTAGTCACACGGCAGCTCTGGGCAGAACGTACCCGACAGGACCTCAAGTCACACCAGACGAATTCGCGCGGAAGCTCAGCCCCTTGACTGCCAGCAACTTTGCGACCTCGGGGTATGAGGGCCTTCGGCCCAGGTCCACGCTGATTGATTACTTCAAGTGCAACCGGGCAGGGGTTCCCGCTTCTAGTAGAGGAAAGGCTGTTAAGACTCTCACCAAGCTTCCCCTGCCGCCCAAGGACAAGCCTGTATGTTCAACTTCTTACAACTTACTCTGACTAGACTAACGTATCCCAGATCGTACCAGAGTACCGGCCGCAGCCCATGATCAAGCTCCGCAACCGGGGCTTTGGTGCTCAACTGCTGCTCCGGGAGCAGGGCAGCACACCTCGTCCCGGGCGTGAGCATCTCGAGTATCCTGCCTTTGGTGAGTTGCTCAGTTCTCTAGACAATGACTTGCAACTGACATCGGCAGACTCCAGAGCAAGTACGGCATCCTTCTGGAGCCGAAGCACCGACGTCCACATGTGTAACGCGCATCTGACGCAAGCGAATACTATTCCTTTCAGTCTAGCAAGTTGTCACAGTGAGTGTACCCGAAGCCTACTCCTTGAACTTGAACTAAGCCTCGCAGATGCCCCAATGACGGCAATTGGTGACGAAGAGGGATTCATCCGCTTCTTCGACACCACCACAACCCCCTTGGGAGCGGCACCTCGTACAAAGGTTGATATTGTCATCCAGGCCCACGAGAATGCCATCATGGACCTCGCTTTTTCCAATGACGACCTACGTTTGGCAAGTGCATGCGGTGATCGCTCCGGGAAAATCTTCGACGTCATGTCACAGACGGTGGCGGTGGAATTGAATGGCGGTCACTTCCAATCGATGCGTCGTGTGGAGTTCCAACCAGGCCAGGCCAACGGAAACGTTGTAGCCACGTCGGACCGCGACGGAAAGATTCAGATATGGGATTTGCGATGTTCCATGGCACCGGCCGCTGCCTTTTCCACTCGCGGCCCGGAAGGGATCGTGCACCGCGACAGAGACCGCAACCCTCTGTGGGCCCGAACGACCAATACACTCGACAACGCCCATGCTCGTACGATCCATGGAGTCACATCACCGGCGTCTGTCACGGCGCTGCAATATATGCCGGAAGGCCGTGAGCACCTGCTTCTCTCCGCCTCAGAGGCGAATGCCTGCATTAAGCTGTGGGATACGCGGTACATCACCCCGCGCAACAAAGAGGCCGCCCCCCTAGCTGTGACTGCCGAACCGGCAACCCACCGCTGGCGGCCCTACGGCCTTACTTCTCTGGCCCTGAGCAGTGACGCATCCCGCCTGTACGCAGTGTGTAAGGACAGTACTATCTACGCGTACTCAACCTCGCACCTCATGCTCGGCCACGCTCCCGAGCTCTCACTCCGACCTCCGCGCCAAAGGGCCGGCTCCGCGGTGCAGGGTTTGGCGCCCCTTTATGGCTTCAAGCACGACCTTTTCCACGTTAAGAGCTTCTACGTGCGCGGAGCCCTCCGCCCTGTATCGACTTCCGGCACCGAGCTTCTCGCCGTCGGTAGCACGGACAAGTGCGCCGTCGTCTTCCCCACCGATGAGCGTGCCATGCGGGAGTACTGGGACACGCAGAGCCACCTCCCGGCAACGGACACTATGTCCACCTCGTCAAGCGCAGCTACGTCCTCGTCCCAAGCAAAGCCTATCAACGCCGGCGGCGCTCAAGTGCCCATCATCCGCAACGGCACGCCCCTCATCCGTGGTCATCGCCGCGAGGTCACGGGGCTCAGCTGGTCCAACGAGGGTAAGCTCGTCACCATCTCGGACGACTACATGGTGCGCCACTGGCAAGAGGGCAGCGATGACGGCGGCCGCGGTAATGGCCGCGACGCGTGGGACCTGCGTACCGGAGGCGAATTTGGCGGAAACCGGCACATGGCTGGTTGGGCCGACGTCGCGGACGACTGGGATGAGGACTGCGACTCCCACTCTGAGTGCTGATCCGAAAACTCAAAACAAAAACAAAGCAAATGAATGGTGAGTAAACAAGCATGCGTCTGGACGGAGTTATCCTAGACGATCAAGAGGTCATGAGTTTTTTTTTTTTTTTTTTGATGACGAGAGTTTGATAGGCAGACTTGAACGTCTGACCTTTTCTTGTTTTTTGTACTTGTATATGCGCAGAGAGGAGTCATCTGGATCGGGGCGCGTTGGGAGTTATTTGAAAGCATTGATTTGGCGGGTTACAAGATGAGACGACAAGAACAAAAAAGACGATTAGAGATCGTGGGGGGGAGGATGGGTATGAGTTCGGATTGGCTGGGTATGAGGAATTAGCATGGTGTGGCATCACATCGCTTCGCGTTGCACTGGACTGGACTGGGGGTTTTCTAGATACCATAGCACTCATGGGATATAAAATCCCTTATACATAATGAGACATGTCAGAAAACAGTATCATTACACTGGAAATAGTATGAATGTGAAGGAGACTTGGTTTGGGATATGCCATCTGGCAGCCGTCTATCTAAGCTTTGAAAGTCTGTCATAGACCGTCTACTGCCGTGTCATGTCGTAGGGAAAAGAAAAGGCCAAAACACCTGAAAATGCAGTAGAGGGGTATCGTATATCTATCCCATGCCGTAGGTATCCTGAGTTGAAAAACGCTCCGAAACGCCGATGTCGTCATGCTATGCTGCCACCATGCCTTCTCCCTACTCCCCTTCTGCTACACGCCCTTCGCTCCCATCTTCCTTACTAGAAAGAATATACTGGCAATGGCAGCTAAGCCTGCAACGATGATAATGTTAGATATCAAGGAAGTGGCAGAGCGTGATAGCTGACCCTGCCTCGACGCCACACCTCCTGTGGAAGACGTTGCGTTAAGCGCGCCGTCTGTCGAGAACGTCTGGCCCTTGTTCTTTCTGCTTGGTACCGCTAGCTTCGGCTCAAATCTCATAGACTTGGAGGCCGGACAGCATGCCGGGGGCTGTTTTTCCAGGTCGCTCAAAGCGTGAGACTGTGAAGTCTCACATGCCTTTTGCCTCGTATGCCTTGAGAGCCACGAATCAGATTTCTCGCTGTCCTCGGAACTCTTCGAGACCGTCTTCTCCCTCTTCCTGTCTCGAGCAATGGCTACACTGTCGCGTAGACGACCGCCGGGTACCAATGATGCCCATGATTCCAAGACGGAAGGTCCATGTTCCAAGTCCGTGTCACACACATTGTCCAGCTGCCCAACGAGCAGCAACATATTGTCAAAGATGCAGACGGCCTCTTGGATGATGTCATGCCTCTCACGCGGTGTCAGGAGATGCTCGGATTCCGCTAGCCGTTTCTTAAACTCTTTTTTGAGGTCCTCGCCGTCCAGGGGCGTCGCAAAGTGGAAGAAGCCCAGGGGTAGAGAATGACGCATGTGCTTTGCGCCGACTTCAATCTTCCCACGGTCGTCACCCCGTGACATGTCAACCGGTGTTGCGTTGGGAATAGCAGCGTTCGATGGTGCTGTGCGTTCTTGGCAGGGCATCTGCGATGGTGGAATCGGCGACGACGTTTGCTCCCAGAATTCTGATCCCGCAGACTCGAGTGTTGCTCTGATGAAACGTCCGCCAGCAAAGAGGGCCATGAACAAGATGTACGAGTATGCCATCAGGACGTGGGGCTTCTTCTCAATAGTGCGCCTAACGTGCATTGTGAACTCGGCTAGCCGTCCTGACTGAGAGATCGCTGTAAGTTGCTCATTCACAACGTCGGGGGACCATCCGGTGATGGAACCAAGATCAGCTCGCAGACGATCAGAACGCATGAGTCCGGGTAGGTACAGCGACGTTAGTATTGAGCGTGTCCGCTCGCAAAGAGCAGGTTGGTGTCGCAAGTTAGATTCGATGTTCGAGACTGGTGTAAGGTCAACTTGGTTTGATTTACACTCGTCATCGGCCTCGTCAGTGGAAGGAAGTTGGGGTGATTCTGCAATAGTCTTCCATAATGACTCAAAGGTGTCGTAGATGGGCGTGATGTGAAGGAGGCCGGAAGCGTAGAGTGAAGGATCTACGGCGCGGGGCGGGATCGCCAAGGGCAGGCGGGCAATGATAATCTTGTTGAGTTTTGCATGAACAGATCGGGTCGCGGCGGCGATGGACTCGGACAAGGGACGTTGTGTATCTTCGGCCGGCGTTGCGGCTGGTGAGGTCATCGTCACGAGCGTCGGGGCGGCGCCGTTTGTTTGTCAAACCTCCCGTGACGGAGAGGTGCGGCTGGTGGCTTCTAGGGAAACGTGCGGGATACGGAATAGGGAATAGGGGCGTGGCGTAGATGGTGTATCCGTACAGGAACCAGGCACCTCGTGTTCGGAGAGGGGGAATAATAGGATAATGGATGCTTGGTGTGACACAGGTTCCGAGATGATGCGGTTGGTAGTCGAGAGTTGAAGTGTACCGGTAGTAAGGTAAGGTAGACAGACAGGAGCAGAGACAGAGGGTAGGTAACCAGTAGTCCTAGAAGACTTGTTGTCTGCTGCTCCTCCTCGAGGCCTCCTCGGCGAATTTCAAGGCGTAATGCGAGATAATGTAGAAGGACCTTGGAAGGGGGACAGAACGGACGAAAACCACAAACGGAAGCGGTAGCGTCGATCCTCAGTAGGTTGTCGAGGGCAGTGATCGAGTGTCTCTCTCTCTCTCTCTCTTTTCTTTCCCTGGCAGTAACTGGGAGAGGCTGAACCAGTGGCAGTTGCGCTTTGGGTAGGTTGCAACGGCTAAGAGTAGTAGCGGGTGGCAAAGACGGAAGGGTAATGTGTAGCAGAAGGCGACAGCGTCAGAGCTTTCTTTCTTGCTGGAGCTATTACCGATACCTCTCTTTGGCGTTCTGGTAAAAGTGGTCGGTCACCAGGGCCACCATGTGATGTGCTTCTCAGATTCTCGGAAGGAAAAGAGTGAGACTTTCCCGAGAGCTTGGGTTTTTCTGTTTCTTTTTGCGGTCGAGAATTCGGGTACCTAGGTCTCAGAGGGATGGGTCTAGTGTTGTCCGGAGAGATTCCACTTTGGTTGGTATGCAAGCTAGGAAAGCAAGCAAGGTAATAAAGAGACAGAAAAGTTTAAGATCCAAAGGAGCCGGGGACAGGAGGCAGGGCCCGGCAAACGGGGTTGGAAGAAGCTAGTCTCGGCGAGAGGATGTGGACGAGTAGTGCGCACCTCAAGCATGGAATCTTGAGACTCGAGAGTCAACTGGGCTACATCCAAGATCGCATCCGGTGTTAGCTCGAGTCTGGTCTCGGGGTGATAGATCAATAGGCGTAGGTGTAGGTGAAGGAGTGAAAGGACGAAATGATGTCTGAGATGGAGATCGGAGTTATCTGTTGCCTCGCGGGAACTATTCCCAAAATTGATAGGGATTCACCAAGCTTTGTTGCATCGCGTCAAGGTCTCGTGGACAAGTATTGTAAGGCACATACGGAGAGTCTTGAATCGTATCCGTACAAGCACTTATGTCCGTAGTAGAAAAGCGGACTTCACTGCAAAACCACAGACGACTATTCAACGACCCCCCGCCACGGCATGGCAAATGTCACCTTTTCGCTTCATGGGAATCCCTCAAGAGAAGGAAATGGAAATGCGGTTCGGGTACCCTACCGTGGAGCGAGTAACCTGGAGGCAAACAGACGAGGGCAAGCCGCAAGAGGGGGGGCCCGGCGGGCGGCGAGGGATGTGGAGGATATGGCCAGGGGCCAGGGGTCTTTGGGTCCTATGGCCTTTGATCATTCGCGGTCTCGCCCCGTAAAGGACCACTTTTATCCATCGGGCTGGATTCGAATCGAACATTTTCGCATTGCTACGCTGCCGTCGCTGCATGTCCGATATTTTGCGCAGCCCACTGTGGCTTGCCCTTTCCTTGATTCTGGACGCTCTACGGAGTACATTACGGAGTGCGGGTAGGTATTTCTTCATATTCCTGCCTGATGCGTTTCTCATCTTTATCAATGTCTTCTGCCTCGGTCTCTAACGACATGGAAGGTGCAAATGGGCGAGCAAGGAGTTGGCAAGTTGTGAAGACTAACGAGATACTGGTGATGCACCCTTGGACTTCTTTAGCTCGTGTAGGCCCCTACAACAAGTTAGTATTCGTGTGTACTCCGTATAATGCATTAGACCAGTGACTGGCGACTGGACCTTCTGCAGGAGGAAGCGCCCCAGCGATCGGCTTTCCTGCGGGCCATCAATTCTGGCAGGACCCCACGATGTTCTTGCTGCCCACGGCGCCAACAGGTGATCCCTCTAAGCCTGTGCCTCTACCTTCCAAGTTGGGTGATGTGATTAATTAGGTACTTTGGCAGGAGCAAACATTCTCTTGATAGTCTCCAGGACCATCTCTACTGACCCTTACCTTGTTGCGCAATGTTGAGCTCCCATCCAGTCCTCTGGAACCCCTTCGACAGTTCATAAGACTATCCCTTCTAAACCACTTTTCCGATGTTTTCTGCCCACCTCTCAACCTCGATGCAACCCAAGACTCTGTCATTTTATCCTCCAGTGCTACAGCACATGCCAAAAGATACCAAAAAATTTAATCACAGCATACTTTCCCGATTCCCGCAACTCTATCAATGAATAGCAAGGGGAGGGGGGCCAAGGATCACACGGTTCAACAAATTCTGGAGCCTTTCAACTCGAAGCGGCGAATCCGATTGCGCGGCTGTCTCCATGCACCTGCAGATCCCTTCTCTCAAAATCAAGCAAGACATCAAAAATCCAACATGCATCGTATTTTACTCAAACCCGTCATCGGATTTTGCACAATCCCGTCTTGTCATGCTCGCCCGACCTTCCCAGTCTCCCCAAAGTCACACCACAGCTGCAGTCGACCACTCACCAGAGAAAAAACTCCTTGGTTCGCATAATGCCGTATTGTCTCCGCCGCAGCTGCATCAGTGTTTCCACCCGGAACCACCTCTTTTTGCTTGATTGCTCTTCCGAATCATCCGACTTGGCAACGTGAAGAATGACCTCGTCAAAAAGGGGCTTCCTAGCAAATCCTACTATGTGAAATCGATGCCGGGCCTCACCTCGCCGCCTTGACCGTGAGAAATGGAAATGTTCAGTCTGTCAAGAGATGGATCTCACACGCATTGAAAGACGGCATGATGCAAGTTGATTGTATTAATGACGAGACTGAGCAAACAGCTCAGACTCAATAACAGCGCTCCAGGTGGAATCCAAACACTGGAAGCACCGCGGTCTTGTGTGTAAACGCCGTGACCCATGCAACACGTCTAACGCCCCCCTGCGCACCTCTCTGCTCTCGAATTACAACTTTGTGTGTCTATAGAAACATCCCTTTATAATTGCGAGATGCCCCGGGATCCTGCCTCGGGGCTCTTGTCGCTCGACTCGTCTTCGTGGCTCTCATTGTTGATGAAGAGAAAAGAGATGAGCACCACGGCCGCGCCGACCCAATACACCCAGCTCGAATACTGTGAGTACTGAATCATCTCGCCAATGAGCGACAGAGGGATCGTAAGGGACAGGCCGACCGTCACGACCAGCGGGGTGGTAAGCAGCATGGCGTACGCCCATGACATATCGCTGATGAAGGACGACAACGAGTTACCAATGACAATGGCCCAGATTTTGGCCGTAGGAGGGAACGAGAACTGTACAACCTTCATTAGACACTCGAAAGTCCACAGATATAAGGGGTATGCGGTGTGACTTACTGGTTCCATCCCCGTGAAATGCAAGATGAAGAACACAGGCCATAGGAACACCAAGTTAAAGAGTCCCACCAGACCAAAGAAGAGCGGCATATTCACCCGATCTTCGTTGCCTACCCGCCTCTTCATCACAGTCACGTAGAGTCCGTAGATGATGGCGCTCACAAATGCCATCAGGTCCCCAATGGCAATCTGGCCCGTCGTCTTGTGCGGGAACGACCCGCGGTTCTCGTCGCTCGACCCGGACAGGTCCACCGTCGATATCAGCACAATACCAGTCAGCGACGCCAGGACGCCAATCAGCTTGCGCGCTGTGAACCCTTCGACCCCCATCACGGCGCAGAAGACGAGCGTCCACACGCTGCTCGTCGAGTTGAGGATTGTCACGCTCCCAACGCTCGTGTACTCGAGACACGCCGACGCGAAATAATTTGCAAAGAACCACAGCATGCAGAACTCGAGGCTGATGACGGCCGTCTCCCGGAACGTGAGCCGCTCCACCCTCGTCGTCGTCTCGAACCCTTCCATCTCCAGGCTCGGCTCGTCGTCCACCAGCAGGCGCTCCCCGGCCACCGTGTCTTCCTCGTCCTCGGCCGTCTTGAGGTCCTTGCCGTACCTCTGCTCGTTCCAGACCACCATTGCCTCGCGTCGTAGACCCTCGACGCCGTGCTGCATCAGAAACCGCACCAACATCGGTATCAGTGATACCGCAAACACTGACGTATTCATATACACCACAAAGAATGGCTTGTCGTAAGAGTGATCTGAAAAGATATACTGCCCCCTACTGTCAGCTTGCGCCAGACCGCTACAAAATACCATGGCCAACTCACAGATGCCAAAAAGTTGGATATCGTCCACAACAGCACCGTCACAAGCAGCAGCGAAATGCCTAGCGTCCGCCTCGCAACACCGCCCAGCCCCATCTTCGCCTGCCATCCAGATGACCTCACCGTCGACCTCGACCTGTTTGTAGACGCAACCGAGGCGCTCAGCCTGTCGGTGCTCGAGAACGACCTCCTCGGAGGACGGTCATGATGCTCGGGTGGTGCCAGCGCGGCGGGCAGCATAGGCTCGCTCGGTGCCATTTTCGTTTCGGGGAATTTCGCGATACCGTCGTCGCGCGCCGTGTCGTCGGGAGGTAGGTAGGTAGGTAGGTAGGTATGCAGGAGGAGTTTGCGGATTCAGGGAGGGCTGTCCGCCTTGAGGTAATCCAGGGTCGCTGTCGATGCTGTAGGCATTTGACCGCAGGGACGGCGAAGAGCAACAGCAAACTCTCAAAATATCGTCACAAATAATTCGCGTTCAAAGGTGGGCGGCCGGTTGCCGAATGTCCCGTCGCTCGACTAGGCGCATGTGCAGCACGGCACGGATATGCCGTATGCCAACTGCTTCTCGGGCCGTCGGTTGAAGGCGATGACGATTATGGAGCGGTTTACTGGAGAGCAGCCAAAAGACCCTCAACAAGGCGAACACTCAAAGAAGCTTGGCGAGCTTCTCTCATGCGGACGCGTCGTCCGTATTTTTCGTCGCTGGAGCGTTCACTTTCAAGGGATTCGTGTCAATGTGTTAATTAAGGGTGTTTCTCCAAGGTTGAGTTTCAATGGCACGGGCGAAAACACCCCCTGTATTCGTCCCAAGTACCGGCGACCAATAGTGGTGGGTCGATCGCGTGCCACGGATTCGAGTCTCAGCCTCCCTCAGTAAGGCAGGTGGTTAAGTGGGCAAGTGAGATAAGTCTCTTTGCTGTACTCCGTAAGATACTTACAAAATCCTACCTAGAGCATAATACGTAACCTCTTCCTGCCCTAGGCTGCCGCCGATGGACAAGGCCAAGCATGACGCCGCGCATTAAGCTTACAGAGAGCACTGGTTGCCAGGCCGGACTTAGTGCCGGTCTCCAGCCTTGGGGCTTTAGTGCAGCCTCGGATCCATCCTTCTGTGCGGAGTCTGATGACGGACGGCAAGAATGATCCGTCAGCTCGGACCGGTGATGATAACATGATGGAGAAAATGGCTGTCTTCCGGTGCTCCGCGCCTGTCAGTTAAGATGGAATGTTGTATCCGTAAGAGGCGTCCATTTGTCGGTCCGGTTGCGGACCCTCTTGCCCAGAAGCCGTAACTTAACACAAGTATGGTTGCAGATGCGTTAAGTCATCACGATGCAGGAAGCGAAAGGGCACTATACGAATAAACCCTTGATCAAATTCCAATAATAACCTCTAAACACCTTTCGCACCAGTGCAGGATAGATATGCAACATCAAGCCAAGGCCAAAAAATGGATATGTGGAAAGGCCCTTGGACTAAACATAATGCGAGTCGGACAGGGTCCTAATACTGTGTGCCGCCCTCGTCCTCAACTCGCTCAACATCAACAACCAAATGCTTAACCAAAAGCAACTTAGCAAGAACATCCATCCCGGGGGTTTTCGATGGGAATATTGATGACATCCTGGTAGTCACCGCTGAACTCCTCGGACTCTTCCTGGGCCAAAGCGTTCCGCGCGATAACTATTGTACGATGTTAGTACTCATCGTTGCGGGCGCTCATGATGCTGCACCAACCTTCGAATGCTTGTTCAACATTGATGGCCTCCTTTGCGCTGGTCTCGAAGTAGGGAATACCGCCCTTGGACTGGCAAAAGGTCATTGCGCGTTTGGTCGAAATCTACGATACTGTCAGCCAACTGTAGGAATATTAGACATTTCCTGACCACTCACCACTCTCTTGCTCTCCTCAACGTCAATCTTGTTTCCGAGAACGACCTGGTCGCTTGTCAGTCACGATTCACACAACCCAGCGCCAATCAGCCACTAACGAATGGGAAGTTGTCCGGGTCCCGCGGTGAAGCCTGAATCAAGAACTCGTCCCTCCAGCTGTCCAGAGCATCGAAACTCTTGGAGTTGTTGACATCGTATACGAGCACGCAGCAGTCGGCGCCACGGTAGAAGGCGACGCCCAGAGACTGGAAGCGCTCCTGTCCTGCCGTATCCCAAAGCTGTCGTCCATCGTCAGCACATGTTCGGATCTCTGATCAATCGTTATGTCGGTCTGATCCCACCTGCATCGTCACCTGTCGGTCGTCGACGAGAACCTCGCGCGTCAGGAAGTCGGCGCCGATGGTGGCCTTGTAGCTTGCACTGAACTTCTTGTTGACCTGGGTGGAAGATTCACGTCAGCGCCAGTCGCCTCCTGGTGTTGCTAGGCCGACGAAAACTCACATATTGGTTCATCAGACTCGTCTTGCCAACACCGCTATCGCCAAGGATAATGACCTGCAAGAAAATAACCTCGTCAATTATGCTGCGCGACGATGTGCTGCAGCGCTGGAAGGGGAGAGCCCACCTTGAGGAGGACCTTCTTTCTCGATGACATTTTGAATCGAGAGCCTCGTGGGAGGAGTATGTGAATGTAGAGTTTAGAATGAACAAAAGTGTTGGCGTCAACAGTCGGTCGTTCTACGTAGTGTTACGAAAGTTTCGGTCGCGGGTTGGGTTTCTTATCGGTTCGGACGTCAAGGTGATCGAAAACGGACCGGTGTCTTGCGGTCAGGGGTGGTTGGTTGGTGTCAAGTGCAGGTCGATACGTAGTAGATCGATGGAGGGAAAGTCATGGTGGAGGTTGACAGGGAACCAGGCGGTACTGAGAGCTCCCGTCACATTTCCAAGTTTCAGCCTATCAAAGAGCTGCCTCCAGTTGCTGGGTCTAACCAGGAAGGGCTCCGAGTGTCTACCTACCACTCTGCCTACAGGCTACGCAGCAATATCGTCAGGTGCACTGCTGCTGTTGTCATTGTGGCTGACGTAACGACCAAGGCGCTGTGGGAATGAACGACGGTGCTCAATGCACTGTACTTTGGTGAACTCTAAGGTACCTTGGTTGTTCAGTCGCTCCAGCCACACTCCTTAACTCAACGACGGTCCAGGCGAGCTGAGCCCAGCAGGAGCACGCCCTCACTACCTACCTTACCTCAACTTCCTCGGAATTCCTGCGAGGACCAAGACCTCTCCCACCTCTAGTCGCACATCACATGTATGCTGTGGACAAACAACACACGAGACTACATCCGTAGCCCAACATGCGCTGATGGGACTTTTGACACACATCTCACCCGATCCTCATGGCGGATGAAGAAGATCTCCTGACCAAGGTCCACGGCCTGAGCGACCTCGAGCTCGCCGCCCTTTTGTGCCTGGTCAACCGAGAACACTGTATCGTCAGCACTCCGCCCGTCGCCCTCAATGAGCTCATCGAGGAGCTTCAACTTGTGAGCGCATATGTTATTACCTCCCGCTGTTCATATCGTTAATCTCCTGCAGATCGCGACCAAGACCTTTGGTCTGACGTGCGCCGTCGTGGACTGCACTCCGCAAACCACCCTGGAGGACTTTGCATCCTCCATCCTCATAGCGCAGTCACCCGCAGCAACCAGATCAGGCTCGCCCCTTCGCACCCGTAACGACTCCTACTTCTACTCCCGCGCCGGAATCTCGCCATTGACCGCCGTCAACGCCTATAGCCCCACGGGCCCCGGCGGCGCAGCCGGTTCTTCCATCGCCAACGTTATCCTCGCCCGGAACCTGGACCGCGCTCCCAAGGCCGTGCAGATTCAGGTCCTCGAGCTTCTGCGTACCCGCCGCATCTTCACCCGCACCTCCGTCCAGACCGCTCCTAAGCAGTTCCTTTTTGTGGCCGCGTTGGCCGCTGAGAGCGGAGGCAACGCTCATGTTACGCTACACCTAAACGACTACTTCTTCATCGCGCACTGGCACGACCCGGATGATGGCTTTGCCAACTTAGACGAGGCGTACGATAGGACCGACGATGCCGAGACTGCCAGCACCGAGAGCGTTGTGAAGAAGAGCATCAACGAGGAGGCAATGGCGGTCAGTGAGGATCCCGTTTTAAGTGAAGGTGTAAGTGAACTTTTACGTGGTTTTTGGTCTTTTGAGGGGGCTAACTTTTGGTAGGACATCGCATCGTTGGCTGAGCTGAGCCGAGAAGTACAGGTCAATGTGGACGTACTGCGCTATCAAATGAACATTGTCACGTATTTGAGGATGCACCGCGCAGTTGCTGGTGGCATCGAGCCGATCGCCACGAAGCATCTCGACCAGCTGCTGAAATGCCTCGCCCCCTTACACCGCCTGGAGTTTGTGACGCCGGCTCTCGTCCACTTGGCTATTAGGAAAGTCTACCTGCATCGGATCCGAATTGTGCATGCAAAACAGGAACGGAGCATGCAGTGGGGCAGCCAACAAGAAGCCATCGAGTCCATTCTTGATGGCCTGGGCGCCGAGGACGTAATCGAAGACGTGATAAATATGGTGGCGGCACCGCTTTGAAGGCAAACTTGACTATTTTTCCAACGAGCGTGATTGATTCTACTCAGTGGCTACGTCTTTACGAGTCTTTATCCTTGATACCCATGGGAAACCATTCGAGACATGGAACGCCCGCCCTCGATCCGTGTACTGATACGTCTCCTGCACCTACCTTGTAACGTTCGTTGGTCTCAAATACACTTATTCGTAATCGAACATTCCCATTTCTGTCGTGGAATTAAAAATCTATAATACTACAAGCCAACCAACGCCAGGGGAGGCTTGCGCAATCTGGTCGCCAGATAGGCCACTTTTGTTTAGTTGACCTGGTTGACTCTGCACTTCCAGCCAGATCCGGGGGAGAGAAGAGGCAAGCTGTGACATGTTAGCTTCTGTATGGAGAGTTCGCAGAAATCAATGAGCTTACCTAGCACCGAGGCACCAGCCCAGTTCGTTGCCCTTGATCTTCTTGGCAATCTTGACCTCGCGGTCAATGGGCATCTCGTAACCGGTGTGGAGAAGAGCCATCATGAAGTTGAGGTCGAGGCAGTGCTCAGGGCGGTCCTGCAACTCCTTCATGGCACCGGGAATGCTGGCAAAGAGATCCCAAGACTTCTCACCGCCACAGACAGAGTTGGCAAGGTCGTGCATCTCACGCAGGGTGAAGGAGTCGGGCATGCCGAGAGGCTTAGTACGGTCGTAGAAGTAGGAGAAGATGTAGACGTCCTCGCGGCCGAAGGTCTTGGCCAATGATGGCTGGTGGACACCGTTGAAGGAGCAGGGCGCAAGTTTGCAGCTCTCCTCCTTCTTCAGGATCTTCTCGGCAAGGTTACGGCACTGGGCGGGGGCGGCCTGGGAAGGACCGGTCATGTTGAAGGTCACAGTCTTGCCGAGGGGGTGTTTCTCGTCGAGCTCGACCTCGACCTCTCTAACCATGCCGGGGGCAATGCAAGGGTGGATGATGGGCTGCTTGACCCAGCTGTCGTCGGACTTCTTGCTCTCAAAGATCTCCTCAATCAGCTGCTTGTGGACGGCCTTGCGAGCGCTCATCAAGCCATAGCCCAGGTGGGAGTGCTGGTAGAGCTCAAACTTTTGTCCACCAAAGGCAAGATCGTACTTGTGGTCGCCCTCGGCGAGCTTCTCCGGCATGCCTCCATCCGCAGCTCCCTTGAAGGTGGGCTCGAAGACAATCTGGGTCGAGCCACCGCCGAGATCGAAGACGGCAGCGGTGGGGCTCTTGTCAGGGCCGCCAATCTTGCCGAGGAGGTAGTTGGTGGTGATCCAAGCGTAAACACCTTCGTCGGCGCCGTCCATGATGGCAACTCCGTGGTCCTCCTTGGCAACGACGGGGAAGGGGTACTTGGTCTCGAGGCGGTTGCGCACAGCAGCAAGGATCTTCTCTGCGTTCTCAGCTCCGACCATGCGGAGTCCAGCGGTCGCTTTCACCGCGACAGGACTGCAGGACTTGAGCTTGTCGGGAACGTTGGTCATGGCAACGTCCATCAGAGCGTCGAGAGAAGCGGCAGCGGCCTCGGGGTCGTCCTTATACTTGCTGAGACCACCAACTGACTTCTCCGTCATCTTAAACTCCTCGTGCTCCAGCTCAGGGGTGGCACCGCAGTTGTTGAACTTGTAGACGTGGATTCTGGATCCAGTGCTGCCGGCGTCGATCATCAGGACGTACTGGACGATGGGCTTAGACTTGGAGCTGGACTGAGTGCACTTGTCGGTGCCGTACGAGGCATCGGCAGGGACCTGGCCACCAGCGCCGCCTTTCGATACTATTGTAGATGTGTTAGTTTCAAGTGGTTTTAATGGGATCTGTTAAGTCGTCGCTAACCTCCGCCATTGTAGACGTTGACGCCTCTAGGAGACAGATACCAGAAGAGGAAGACGACGAAGAAGGCGATGGCGCCCATCCTCATCCACCTCGTCTTTTGTGCTTGAGACATATCTCTCAACGCCGCGAACAGGCCAGTATTCCGTTGAGCAGGTGCAAATCGACCAGGCTTTTCGTGTGGATCTCGCGCGGGTTGCTTCGTCGGCAGCGACACAGATGTTCTTCGCATTGGTCGCGTGTCGTTGGTGCTTAGGGAAACACAGAGTAACGCATTCAAGGTACAGTGGGCGTCGAGATGGGACAAAGGAGTGGACTGGACTGAACCGAGGACCGATGACGAAAGGGAGCAGCACGGGACGACTCGAGGAAACAAAAAAGGTGCGGATGGCCGAAGAAAGGAGCGGACGAGATGGGATGGTGGCACTGGACCCGGAGAAAAGTGCAGAAGTCCTATATGTAGGGAGACGTCGTCCACGGTCAAAGGGGGGCGCGAGGAGATGCAAGGTACGGTTAGGTTGGTCTCGAAGGGGGTTTGATGGCAATTGCAGATTTTCTCTTCTCTGAGAGGTCATCAAAATCCAGACATCCCTGTCTCGAGCTGGCAGTTTGCTAATCTTGGGTGCATAGGTGCGCCAGCGGGGAGAACGCGAATCCACTGAAATGCTGAACCTGGAGGGCATCCTCCTGTCATGTTCACCTTAATGGCCGGCTCCATGATTAGGGGGCGGGGCCACTGACTCCCTGCTACGCCCCCTAAATTGCGCAGTCGCTCCTTCACACGGCGGGCAGGTATTACGGCAGAGTCCCATTTGCCAGACACGTTCTGATCATTCCTGAGGTGATCAGCTTGCGGTCAAGGCACAACTGGAACTTGAGCTTACCTAAGATTACGTACTCCAAATCCTTATCTAGAAAAAGCATCTTCATCGATAAACTGGCGCGTCTCAAGCCACGTGTGGCGCCTTCTCCGGATCTCACACTGTGACCGGACCCTGGAAGCTTCTCGTCCAGCGACTATTACGACTACGTCTTGTTGCCTCTGGCGTAATGATGAATACGAACGACCTCCAGAAAGATAATTAAGCAATTCCCAGAACGAACCCTCTGCCATACCCAGTTTCAACCATTCCTCACACCAGTCATCAAAGATACAGCCTTGTCACTCTCAGCTCACTACAGTTCTTACCAATAAAGAAGTTGAATCCCGGTCTAGGCTGAGCGAAGCCTCTCAAGATGGACGTGCATCTCCTAACATACGACCTATCCCGTGGGCTTGCACGGCAAATGTCCCAGAGCATGCTTGGATTTCACCTCGATGCAATCTATCACACGTCCATTCAACTCAACGGACGCGAGTACGTCTATGATGGTGGTATTGTTGACATCACTCCGGGTACATCTCATTTGGGCCAGCCCATGGAGCGCATATTCCTCGGAAAGACAGAGCTGCCCATGGAGGTCATCGAAGAGTTCTTAGACTCATTAAGACCAATCTTTACAGCGGAGGTGGGCTCGACTCAGTATATCCTTGAGTTGACCGAGACTAACCAACTACCAGGCCTACGACCTCTGGAAACACAACTGCAACAACTTCTCAGACTCGTTTTCTCAGTTCTTGCTTGGGAAAGGCATCCCAGAGCATATCATCAAGATGCCTGATGCTGTACTCAGCTCTCCAATGGGCAGGATGCTCATGCCTCAACTGAACCAAGTTATAAACTCCAATAGACAAAATGGTTCAATCCTCGGTATCCAGAACAATCCAACCCCTCAAGGCTACGGATCCGCATCGCAGCCCACAAAACCCCAAGCAAATGTCAGGGTCGTAAGTAGCTCACAGGAGCTCGACGCAATCCTTGAATCTGCCGCAAGGTCTTGCGCTGTTGTTCTCTTCACCTCCACCACATGCCCTCCTTGCAGGGCCATCTCGCCCATATTCGATGAAGTGTCTGCAGAGGCAGGCAGCAAGGCCACATTCATCAAAGTAGATGTTGCCCAGCTCACACCGCTTCCCGGGAAGAACTATCCTCGAGCAACTCCGACATTCATCACGTATTTGCATGGAGAAAAGGAGAATGAGTGGGCAGGCGCTGATCCTGCTGCCCTTCGAGGCAACGTCCAGCTCCTGCTACAGATGGCTTGGCCTCGGCACCCCCACGAGTTCCTCAAGCTTCCCAGCTTCTCCAACCAGAACGCAAAGCCAGTATTGTTCTCAAAAGTACCGCCCCTGGCCAAACTACTGGGCAAGATGGGGTCGGCAGCAGATGAACCAGCCGTGAAGGCAACCAAGCAATTCATTGAGGCCCGCGACAAGCAGGGCGCCGCCGCTGCAGTACTCCCAAACCTGGGCGAATTCTCCGCGTTTTTGCAGAGATCATTGCAATCGCTACCCGTCGAAAATCTTTTCACCATCGTCGACTTGTTCAGATGTGCGCTCGTCGACGCAAGGTTTAGCGGCTATTTTGCTGAGGAAAAGGGGCACTCAGCTGTTTTGGCAATCCTCAACCTCGTCAACTCACACAGCGACTGCCCGTATGCCTTGCGATTAGTTACACTACAAATGGCGTGCAACTTCTTCTCCACGCCGCTCTTCCCGGAGGAAATCCTTCGAAACGAGACTTTGAGAACACCCATCATCCAACTGATATCTTCGAGTTTCCTAGACGACAGTCACAATAATGTTCGTGTGTCTGCTTCGTCCCTCATGTTCAACTTGGCACTCTTCAGCAACAAAGCAAGACGTGAGAAGTCGGGAGACGTACTACCAGATGGCGACGCAGTAGAGTTGGCTGCGTCGGTGTTGGAAGCCATTGGGCAAGAGGAGTCTTCGCCAGAGGCACTGCAGGGCATGCTTCTGGCACTGGGTAACTTGGTCTACTGCACGCCAGGTGACAGTGAAGTCTCGGATTTGCTGAGGACGATGGATGCCGAGGACACGATTCTGGCCAAGAAGAAGCAATTCCCAAATGAGAAGATCATTGTAGAGGTGGGCTCAGAGCTTCTGGGCAAGGGGCTTAGACGGCCGTAACTTGGCTTGCACGTTGGTAGCGATAGAATACACTAAACTGCGTGGCGTTGGGTACTGGGTGTTGACACCGTCAAAGAGGTGCCGAATACACACTAGACATTTGTTTGTAGGACGATTTGTTTACACGAACGTGAGCACGAGTGTCTGTCATCTGATTCTTCCACAACACACCGGCAGCGTCGCCTTTTTACGCAACTTGAAGAAGAGGATGCTCATCCTTCGTCTTGCAAAAATTAACACTCGCTCGATTGAATCTCTATTTTCTTTTATTTCGCTGTTTATCTGCCAACAAAAAGCAAGTCGACAACACATTCCCAGATACGTACTTGCAACCCCTGCATTCCAACCCCAGGCGAACAGCACACCGCATAGCAAGTGTGGCGTCACTGCCCCGGCAACTCGGCCCCACCAGCTTTCATCCTAATTGGGCAACCGAGTAAACAAGCCCGACCGCCTCATGTTGGGATGTGGGCTTCGCAACGGCAACGATACCACGCACTTTTTGAAGAACTGAAGCAGACCCTTCGTGGATTGTCTCTCGATCATCGACTGCTACCGCCAGCGGTTTATGAGATGCCGGCTCTCTACTCGTCTGCTTCTACCCCATCTCTGCGGTCGCACGATGGACCGGTTAGAATGGACGGTGGAGGCAATGTTCGAGTCGTTGTCCGAGTGCGGGCGTTTCTGCCCAGAGGTATGTTGATGGCTTCCCGGTGTGGTACAGAAGAGAGAGACTGATGGGTGAAATCCAGAAATCGAGCGTGGTGCCGAGTGCCTAGTGGAGATGGACCCCATCACCCAGCAAACGACGCTTCTCGTGCCCAACGATAACGACCCTGCGAATGCGAAAGCAAAGTCGAGAAAGATTATCGAGGAGAAAAACTTCACATTCGACAATTCTTTCTGGAGTCATGACCTCAGTGACAAGTATTACGCCCACCAGGAAGACGTCTACAACAGTTTGGGTGAGGAGTTTCTCGACCACAACTTTGAGGGCTACCACACATGCATATTTGCCTACGGTCAAACGGGGTCTGGAAAGAGTTATACAATGATGGGAACGCCAGATCAGCCGGGCTTGATCCCTCGAACGTGCGAGGATCTCTTCGAGCGAATCGAGTCTGCGCAGAACGAGACGCCCAACATTTCCTACAACGTTCGAGTGTCATACTTTGAGGTCTACAACGAGCACGTCCGCGATTTGCTTGTTCCGGTTGTGGGGAACCAGCCGCCGTACTATCTCAAAATCAGGGAGTCGCCGACGGAGGGTCCGTACGTGAAGGATCTGACCGAGGTACCTGTCCGCAACCTCAATGAGATCTTGCGATACATGACGATGGGAGATAGATCAAGAACCGTGGCCAGCACCAGAATGAACGACACGAGTAGTCGCAGTCACGCAGTTTTCACAATCATGCTCAAGCAAATCCACCACGATATGGAAACGGACGAGACGACGGAGCGAAGCTCGCGTATTCGGCTGGTCGATCTGGCCGGCAGCGAACGTGCCAAGGCAACCGAGGCCACAGGCCAGCGGCTCCGCGAAGGCAGCAATATCAACAAGTCGCTAACGACACTCGGCCGAGTGATAGGAGCGCTCGCCGATGCCAAGGCGGGTTCGAGGAAACGCAGCAAGGACGTCGTTCCGTACCGAGACTCGATTCTCACGTGGCTGTTGAAGGACTCGTTGGGAGGCAACAGTAAAACGGCAATGATTGCTTGCATCGCGCCGTCAGATTACGAGGAGACTCTGTCGACACTTCGCTACGCAGATCAAGCCAAGCGCATCCGTACACGCGCGGTTGTCAACCAGGACCAGATTTCGTCAGCGGAGCGCGATGCCCAAATCGCAGCCATGGCGGACGAGATTCGAGCCCTTCAGCTATCTGTGTCGGAGTCGCGCAGGCGGGAGAAGGATACCAAAGACCAGGAGGAGAAGCTTGAGGAGTACCAGAACCACGTGGCTACGATGCAGCGCATGATGGAAGAGCGCAGCCTCGTTGCCGAGGGCAAGATCCGCAGCCTGCAAACGGAGAACGAGGCGCTTCGGCTGCATCTCAAGCTCGCTCTCGAGAGCCTCAAGAACCCGATCCCAGCCGTCACGATTAAGCCGCCGGAGGCCGAGGAAGCGGAGGATGAGGCTCAGAGGGCCAAGTCGGAGAGTCCCGAGGGTAAGGAGAATGGCGAGGATGCCGAATCATTGTACGACGACTCGGACGACACGGCGTACGACTCGGACGTTATGGAGGATAATGCCAGCGATATGCAGGAGTACATGCGCAGCCTGCTGAGCGATCTAGGCATGTTCCGGAGGAAGATTGGAGACGACAAGGAGCGCTGGGTCGGCGAGGCGCCGCCTGCGGGAAGCAATATGAACTTCTAGAGTCGTAGGTCTAAGGGGGTTCGATGAATGAGTGTGGACGAAAGAGCTCGGCTATTGATTGTTACGAAGCGCCAAGACGACAAGTGTAAGCATGGTGTTTTGGGAGTTCTTCTTATTCTTCGGGGTGTACTTTGTTAAGGAGACAGAGAGAGAATCCATAGTTTGCAGTCAACACATAGTACATGGCACACCAAAACTCCCGTATTTGGTTGACACTAAGAACGATGAAATTTAGTGCGGGCAAATTGCAAGATTTGCTCTGCCGGGGACACGTTCGACCCTCTTGCACACGTCATGACTGAAACCTGTAGGAACATGATCCGGCCTGTCAGATCTCATGGAAAGTGGGCGGGTGTTCTTTGCTTGTTCCCATTGATTTCAAACAGGAAATCCATTCTGGCGGTGCTTCACAAGTCGAGGAGCATGGAGCAAGGCGCGAGAGAGCCGCTGGAGGCCGCTACGTGCCGCTTGCGCTGTCTCCAAAGATTTACGGTCAATTGTTCCCATCAGGAATACTGCGAATGATACATGCCCAACGTCGAGAGCGGAAGAGGGATGTCGCTGTTAGGGTTGGACAGGGTTGTGAATTGGTGACGGGAGGGCAGAGACGAGTGCAGGGATGAAGCATCCGGAAGAGACGACGGCGAAGCAAGCCGGTGGACTACTTGTCCAGGGGGAGTTTCGAGACAACGGTTTGGTTCTTTTGACGACGGGCAACGTGCTTCGGAGCCGTTGGTCGTCGAAACTTTGACGTGTCTTCCTGTCCGTGTTGAGTGTGTCAAACTTGCCAGCCCTAGGAACCGAATGCCCTGATGGGGGTTTTGAGAGTTGAATATAGATCTAGGTTAGTGGCGTTCGTTGGGTGCGTCAATCTGAGAGGATCTCGCAATCGCAATGTTGACAATGCGTTTGGTTTCCAATAGAGATTGGCTTTACATTTCCTCTTTTTCGGTTTAGATATTTGAGCTGTTCAAATAGCATTGGACGAAGGTTGGTGTTTGTTCCTGAGTATAGTTCGGGTGCAAACGCCGTTTGGGGGGGGGTTTTTTTTTCTTTTCCGGGGAAGCTGCCCGAAGTAGCCGACCGTCGATCGGCTTGTCGTACAGCGTTTTGATCGTCAAAAGGTAGATATCTTGTGAAGAGTTAATTTGTTGGTCAAGTCGTGGTCTACGGCGGCGGATCGTAGCCGGTACGGTCCTTAAGATGGAGACTTCTGTGGCTCAAGGCAACTAAATCATCCTGAAAAGCAAACCCAGGGAGTACTTCAAAGGGCGCAACAACGAAAAAGCCGGCAATGAACTGGGCCAGGTACCTAGGGACTGTGGTCTGAAGTTTGAGTGGTCGTCAGGCGCGGGAGAGTTGCTGCACATCATGCCTCTTCTCCCAAGGCGGGAGATAACTCAAAGGCCGAGGAGCTAAAGAACAGAGTCGGTTTTCGATATCGGAGCTTTCTGCGATTTGTTGTTTCTCAGATCCATCTCAAGTTTCTGTTCTTTTTTGGCTTTAAGGGGTTTCCGTTCGATATGCGAGTGATTTCTAGAGGATTGCCAAAAAGGTGAGGAGCGCGAGAGCAGCAAAGCAAAAAGGTTGAGTGAACGGGCTGATGGATGAGCCAGGCGTCGGGCCCGACTCTCAAGCTTCGAATGTGTACCAGTGGCTAGAGAGCGTGCATTAGTATGACTATGACGAGTCTTCCGAGAGTCAATTGACCTTGAGGGTGCATCTCATTCTCCGCTCCGTTTGATGATGTTGAGCAGCTCAGACGTCGAATGGGATGTTAAGGGTCATAGCTGGATGAGGTACCTACCTACCTTGAGACAGAGGTATTATCCGGAAGAATGTGACCGACCAGAGTGCTGGAGTGATTACCTAAGAGATATACTACCTAAAGTGCCTTCTTCCACAGTCAGGCAGTGTAGATAGGTAGTCGTTGCCATATTCACAATGATGGAAGCTACTCCGTACGTGTAAGGCAACCGCCACTCTTTGACAGGCAAGTGCTTATCAGGGCAATTATCTGGCCTCGCTCGGATCAGCTCCTCTTCGAACAGTTGGGAACCCGCGGGGATGTTGCGCTTTCTAACGACGTCTGCGCGTACTCCGTACCTTGCATCCAAGTTCCCACGGCGGCACATGCCTCGTTCCTGGTCCCTGTTTCTGGATGCTGGAAACCCCCTGCCAGGCCGCGACCCTGCTCATTTACACCCTCAGGAACCGCCGAACCGAGAAGAACAGCTGTATCTATATGGTAACGTGGGTAATAGCCTTCCTTCTCGAACGTGAACCTGAACATCCGGTCTTTGCTCCCCTTGCCCACCCTCGTCGCCACGACTTATCACTGGCCGCGCCGGCGGCTGGATGTTTCAGGGCGGTAAGATGTTCCCACCAAAGTTCTACCATCCCTAGGGTCTCTTTCCTTCCTATGGATCGACCACCGACCGTCCCAGCCGTTCAATTTACTTGTCGGCTGTGAGCTTGCCAAGTTGCCAATGCCAGTCGGTTCCAGCGTCTCCAGAGTCCAGACACCACATTCAGATCGGGACGGGCGGCCGTGACGGCTGCCGCGGAATGTCACCTTGGGCCCGTACCTACGGCAGGAGGACGCCATTGCCGTTTCGCCTGTGTGCCTCATGTGTGCAACGGCAGGTTCCTTTCACCACCACATGGGCAGCACAGCAGGAAGCAGGAATCGCGTCCGAGACGTCCTTATTCGCCTGTACCTTGCAGAGTACATATGTACTTACGAATAGGTACATCCGACAATGGATGTCTGCCTTGAGCACTCGGACGGTTCGTGTACCGTCCCGTCTCTCTTTCCTCGTCGAGACCCGAGCCTGCTGAGAAGTTGAATCTGGAGCCTGAGTTGCTGCTCACTTCTCACTTCTTCTTCTTCCGGCGCCCATATGCCATTGTCGCGAAGACCAAGGACCCCTGTCCAGCTGCGCTTCAGAGCTCAGATCTGAGCCCTGGAGGCAGTGGAGGCACTCTCGACCGGATTTTGAAGCTCCCTACCCACTCTCTCCAGACAGATCTCCCACCCTCTAATCATCCAGCGTTCAGCAAAGATACCCTGCTCTCTGGGACCGCCTGGAGTGTCGTCTTGTGTTGCGACCCTAGGATTATTGTGCCCCCTGTGGTGTACCTGGCAGAATGTACTCCAGAAAGTACCTAGCCTACAAGTAAGCACCAGAAAGAGGATCAAGGTATCTTGAGTATCGCCGTGACGAGAGATGGGATGAAATGAGATGGACAGCTTCTTGCTTAATATCCCTACCTCGCCGCAGACTCGTCTCCGGGTCTTTTCTTCCCCTTTCTCTCTACCGCCTCTCCCTCGGTCGCCGTCCTATTGTATCTTTACGATTCTTTGTCACCAACTCCCTGAATACAACCGTCGAGTCATTCAGAGTTGCAAGGAACCCGAACTTCAGCTGCTGTCTTCAATCGTCACACCTTGTTCTGTCCAACAGGTATCCTCTGGTCCACCTGTGTCCCTGTGTCCCCGGGATTAATCAACACTTTGAGAGGAACACCACCGGCGTCAAAGCAAGCTGCAAGACAAGGGCATCTGTTCCTGACAATCAAATCTCTCCTCCCCGCGCCATCTTGCTGTCTGATCTAGTAATTCAGACTACGGATACGCACGAACAGGCTGCATCTGTACGAAGTAGTCCCCCAGACAAGCCCAAGAAACCCACCAAACTGGTCCTTTCATTGGTGATTCCCAAACAGCCCCAAGCCTCTCCACGTCTCCTCATACCGGGCCAACAACCACATTACCACACACCAAGCCAAGTTCCCAACCAGCACACAGCAATAACCGACGCCGGCCCTCAGGCACTTAAGCGTGCCCCGTCCCCGTCCCGTCAACGGCCTGCCCACTTCTGCCCCTCGTTGCTACATTAGGCACCGCCGCACTCCACCGAGCCAACCAGCGACCAACGACCAGCGACCCAAAAAAGCAAGGGCAGTTTGGCTAGCAGTTGTGACTTGTAACTTGTCACTGTGTCCCGTCCCTCTTTACCTCTCTCGGTCGCGCCTACCCGACCCCCGATCCCCGACTAGGTCCAGCGGGCAGCGACGCAACATACGACCTCAACTTCACCTTGAACCGGACACTTGCCTTTCGACTCGACACTCGACACCTCTCTCCGTCTTCCTGCTCCTGCGACATCATCTGTCGCTGTCTCTCTTTTGCATTCTCTCACTGATACCCCCTTCCCACCGCCCTCCTAACCACATCATACGCCATGGCCGCCAGACCTGCGCTCTTCACCCGTGGTCTCTCGGGGCTCTCCCAGAGCACAACCGACCCCAACTCGCCCAGTGTCAGCTCCCCGGCCGACCAGCGTGACGATGCGAAGCGCAACTTCCTCAAGGCCATGCGCCCTCTGCCAACACAACACTACTGGAACGTGTACTTTGACAAGTGAGTGCTCCTTGTTGGAATGACCACAGTGTCTGTCCTCGGCGCATGCTCCAAGCCTTACGCAACCCCACCCCCACCACCCCCTGAAGCTTCAAGGCTAACTTCCAACCCTCACTCCAGACAAGCAAAGGACCAGCAAAAGTCGGGCAACGATGATGAGTACAAGGTGCAGTTGGAACAGCTTGGCGCGCAGATAGAATCCGTTCAGGACTTCTGGAAGTACAACAACAACACCCCCGTCGATCAGATCAAGATGCGCGAGTCCATATACCTCTTCAAGCAGGGCTTCAAGCCCATCTGGGAGGACCGCCGCAACATCAACGGTGGCGCCTGGACCTTCCGTGTGCCCAAGAACATTGGCCCCGATGTGTGGACACGCGTGCAGCTCCTTGCCATTGGCGAGAAGCTGCAGAGTGTACTAGACGACAGTACGTCGCAGTCTCTCTCTCTCTCTCTATCTCCCTCTCTCGTCTTTATCACTCCTTTCACCACAACCGCAAGTTGGCTAATTCTTCTCTACCTGCAGACGACCAGATTTGTGGCGTTGGTCTCTCCGTCCGCTTTAACTCCCACCTCATCTCCATCTGGCACCGCGACGGTTCCAAGCAAAAATCCGTCGATGCCATCCTCGAGTGCGTACTCGAAGAGCTCCCCGCTGAGCTGCGTCCCAAGGCCGACAACTACTTTTACAAGCGCCACCAGGACCACGCTGGCTTCAAGGCACCTCCCGAGCTCCAGGTCGTCATCGACTCACAAAAGGCAGCTGCCGACAAGGCCAAGGCTGCGGCCGGAGAGGCGCCGGCTTAGAAGGTCAACCGCGTCCCTCCGCATTCTGCCCCCTTTTGAGGTCCTGTTGGGGTCTGGGAGGAGCTTCGCTGCGGTCCAAAGGCCAAGCACCGTAGTTTCTGCACGAATGCCTCCTAGGCCTTTCTCTTCTCTGCACAAGAGGCAACCCCCATCCAGTGACGGACGCAGTGGTGAGGAGGAATCTCACTATGTCTTGATCTCACCAAACATAAGGGGATGGGAATTTATATGGGTTTTGTTTTGTGAGCAAGTCAGGTTAAATCCGTACTCAATCTCATGCCACGGTTATTGGTAGCGCACCGACACACAAGGGACAAGGCCGGAATAAGCATACTTCATGGGCGTTCTCTTGTTATCCTCTTTTCTTTATTAGCATGGAAATACAAACTCCCGGGGGTGACGAAGATACCACGCCCACCGATGCCACATGGGCCGCACTGAGATCAGATAGAATCATCATTACCACTAGTATTTACCAAAGTGTCCCGATCGTGCAGCATGTTGCAGTGACTTGTAGATTGTGGTGCTTGAAGTGGTGAGCTGAAGGTCCCAAATACCAAAAGAGAAGCAGCTCGTAGATGCTATAACCGCGTCGCAGAAGAACAATCAAAGAAAGAAAATGTGCCACCATGCCTTCCAAACGCCAGATACAATGGGTATAACGCAAGACCAAACCCGCCACAAAGGTCACGAAACCTCACTCAAGTCCAACCAGTGAGATGGGTCGCGCGCGAGATCACCGCCAAACCCCAGCCCGCCGCATAACCTCCTCAAACTCTTCCCTCCTGACCCCCTTCCCGACGCCCGCGCCCCCGTTGGCCTCGAGGATCATATCCCGCAGCACCTCGTCCTTGACGTCCTCCCTGAGCACGGCAGCAACCCTCTTGAGATCCGCAATTGTTATGACGTCCCGCGGCCCAGCAGCCGCCGCCGCCCCCGACGACGATCCTCCGGCCCCAGACCCCGTAAACAGCCCAAACGCCTCCTCCACCTCCCTCCTCCTCGCCTCCCCGCCACCCCGTTCCTCTCTCTGATGGTACTTTAGCGCACACACGGCAAAGAAAGGCTCGTACGCGACGAAGCCTTCGTTCTCGGGATCCAAGATTTCAATGAACTCGGCCTGCTCGTCGCGGGAGGACGACGGGATGCCCAGGGCGACTAGGCAGGAGCGGACGTCTGATGTGGGGATGACGCCTTCTTTGGAGTAGCCCTTGAGGGGCTCGGCGAACAAGGAAAAGGCTTCGCGGATCTCGCGCTCTTCGTGGGCAGAGATGTTGTGTTCTTTTGCGAGTTTGGAGGCGCGGGGGCGTGGGATGTCTGTAGTTGAGGAGGAGGGTTTCTGGGTTGGTGGTTTGCGTTTTGCCGGCTTTGGTTTTGGGTTGTTAGTTTAGGGGGGGATTGCGAGGGGATTGCGAGGGGGGGAAGGGGGTGCTCACCATTTTGGAGGACTGTTGGATGGGTTTGAGGTGTTGATGTTGTTGCGCGGGTAGTTCAGTTGGCTGTAGGAAAGAAGATTGGTGGCTTGAGGACCCGTCGTCGTGACGGGCTGCGGAGCGAAGCAAAGTGCTTGGGAGGTGAGGTCGATGACGATGGATGCGCCGGGACGAAAGAGCGCAGGGACGCGTAAATGGGTTATGGGGCAGGTCGCGCTCGTACAGTGCAGTGACCATGTGCGCAGAAGGTCGCTCGCACGATAGTGCGCCCCGCCGTTGCAAAAAAATTCAACATAAAAGCTTTCGCAAGCTCTATCGATCTTATTTTTCCTTCACCATCACAACCTCACGACACTCACTCATTGCGAGAGGCGTCGACTTCTCGACAATGCCACGTTCCAAACCAGCTCTGGCGGCTTGCGATTGAACAGAGAGACAGCGAGATGATAAGCCAGTCCTTCACTGGATCCTGCGCACAAGCTTCGCTCTCTGCTTCACTTCCATTCCCGATCACCTGGACATTTTCTCACAAAATCCTCTAGAGCTACGCAACGTGGTCGAAGTGGACACCAGTTTACGGATCTTCCAAAACCGCCACCACACTCTATTACAGGTCGAAGCTGCCTAGAGGAAGTGTGCTTCGTACTCGAAAGCTCACGGCCTCCGCGCCGGAACTGCACCCAGCAAACTGTGGTTCTCAGTCCAACTCAACCTCCATGGACATGACAATCTACGGCTTCTGTGCCCTCTTCCTACGCGGCGCTTCCTACTCGGGAAGCTTCCAGCTACAACATGCGTTGTCATCTTCGCAAGGCACCACTACCCGCCAAACAAGGCACTCAGTCCTTTCGATGTTTTCCGTTCCCAGCGGGACGAGGACAAAACCACTGTCTCCAAACATTGAGACAGTGAACAAAACACAACATCATGACAGCTTCTAAAAAATGCTAGAGCTTGCCGCTTTCATACCCAGAGCGAGCATGTGTGGACAGTGAAGCAAGATTAAACAAACGGGTGCGCGTCGCAGGACGTACCGCACCTTCCCCGGCTTACACTCTCGCTTCGATCACTTGTGGTTGTCGCGTTTAGGACCTGTGGGAGACATGCTAATGACGTGATGTGATGATTTGAATTTGATGACTTTGATGCTTGTATGAAGAGCACTTGAAATATGCGATTGCCATTCTTTTGCTTGCACGGGCAACAGAGTGCATTCGCTTGACGCCGTTGTTCAGCTCCGACGATATGTTTCCCGGCCTACTCAAGACTTCGCGTTCCAGTCTCGTAACCCGTCAGGTCAGATCTTGGAATCAGGAGGTGGACTATGTTCGTCAGCTCTGCTCGTCACTTGACTACCAGCCCAAGTGCCATATCTCCAGGCCGGTCGAAGCCGTCGGACAAGCTGGCACATGGAAGCGAAAAAGTGGAACAGTGGAAGAGAAACCTGGTCACTTACTCACTTGAAGTTATTCTTCATCTCGCGCAACTTATTCATGACGGAAACGGGCTCGCTCTCTCCCGTCACCCTCTGAATCTCGGGGTCCTATCACAACATCACCGTCGTTAGTCTCCGTGTCTCTAATGGCCAAGGCGCCCGCGAAGCCCCATTGGGGGAAATGGCTTCAAGAAAAACTCACCTCGACGCGCATAAACACGTTGTGTTTCTGTATTTTCAAGTGGTCGTTAGCTCCATATTTCCAAGTCTCACACTCCCACTCCCTCGCAGGGAAGAGAGGAAACCCAGGGAAATCACGCACCTTTTCATCCCCAATCGTGAACTTGCCCTGCGTCTCCTTGTTATTCTCCGCAAAAGCCTGCAGCTTCTGAATCGCCTCGTTCTGCAGCACCGACGCGGCGAACTTGACGTTGGATTTGGTGTACTCGTGGCCGGGCTTGTTATAGTCTCCCGTCAGCAATCATGAACCGTGGCGACTCTCTTCTCTTGTCCCCGTTCGCTTTCATCTCTTTCCCCCTTCCTTGACGGGTTTCCGCGACGGTGACGGGGGGGGGGTTCAAGAAAAAGACTCACAAACACGACAGTGTCGTCGGGCAGCGAGGCCAGCGTCTTGTTCAGCGCGCTGTGCATCTCCTCCGCGTTACCCTCGAAGAACTTGCCGCAGCCTGTCGGGAGTGAGGAGAGTCAGCAAAAGAGTCTTCGTAATTACGCCCCTTGTTTCCTCCAACACGAAAACCTCTTCATCTCAAAGCATCTTCTCTCATGCTGTAGACGAGAGCCTCACCGCAGTCCAAGAGGGTAGAAAAGAGGGGTTGAAAAGCAAAAGTCAGAGAAAAAAGATAAAAAGAAGTAGGACACCCACCGCTGATGAAGAGCGTATCGCCCGTAAAAACAACCTTTTGATCCCCGTCCTGCATGAACCAGCAGATGCTGTCCTGCGTATGGCACGGCGTGTGCAGCGCCTTGACGGCGATGCCCTCGCCAATCTTGAACGACTCGCCGTGGCCCGGCGTCCGCGTCACGCCCTCGCAGTCCTTGCCGCCGATGATGGCCAGCTTATCCAGACCCAGCTCGTCTTGCTGTTTTTTTGAAAAGGTCCGATCAGTTCAGCGAATGGCATTATTTCCCAGAGGACGACGAGGTTTGGGTGCGAAGAGGGGCGGGATGAGAAAAGGGGATGGATGCAGGAATGGCAGACGTACCAGCTTCTTGTTTCCGCCGGCGTGGTCCCAATGACTGCCAGAGAAAAGTCAGATACACCCCACGTCGTCTCGAGGAAAACCCCCGCGTCTCGGTTCAGCTTCCAAAGGCCAGAGAGAAGGACTCACTGGTGCGTATTGACGATGGCCGTGAGGTTAATCTCGCCACTCTTGATAGCCTTCTGCAACACGGGCGTCACCCTGGGAAAATACCAGCATCCGTCAGTCAAAAAGCCCCCGGACAAGACAACTCTCGAAGATGCTCTTCCTCCCCTGGAAGCTAACCGAAGGCAAGAAGGACTCACTCGGACGGGTTGGCAGGGTCAATGATGACGGCGTCGTTGGTCTTGTCGTCCTTGACCAGGTAGGCGTAGTTGTTACTACTGCCCACCCCTGAAAAAAAAACTCATGTTAGCTAACATGAGGGGAATATAACACTGCATCACCACACTCTCATTCTCGTCTCTCATTCTCTCGTGGTGACCATGAAAGAGAGCATCAGAAGCTTGTGGGGGCGGGGGCAACATACACATGGGAATCGACTGGATATGCATAGCGTTGGCAAACGTAAGCTATATCCCGACGTATTAGCTTACACACTCTCTCATCTCTCACAAAAGAGCCAATCAACCAGAGATGAGCCGTAGTAAAGAAAACTCACTGCAGCTGATACGGTGGCGAGTTTCTGTCTCAGTAGTGGTCTCCTTGCGATGAGGGTATTCATGAAAGGCAATTGTGCGTGTTGGAACAGCTGTTTCTCTACAGTCGGGGGAATTGGAGCTGTAAGCTATTGCGCCGGGAACTCCTCGGCAAGTCACGGTGACGTTATTACAAATCCGCGAGGGGAGACCCCATCCAATTGCATCGTCATACCCCACGTGATGTTGCATGTGCACGACAATGACAACTCCATCAGCAATATCTTCACTCTAATGCCCATACTAGACGCGAGCATTTCCTCATCGAGGGGATGTGTGGTGTTTGTTTTAACGTATTTAGATCCAAAGACGATATCCTCAGCCGGGCTCGACGATTTACGCTACGCCAATAGGACGCGGCTTCCAAGTCCCCTCAAACTTGGCCCATCCGGTGCCAGCGCTCTCAGGAGCATCATCCTCCTCCATCTCACCCTGCCCGTCTCCCTGTCCCTTCCGCAGAATGTCCTCTGATAACCGCTGAGCCGCAAGCATGACGGTCTCACTCGGCGGCGTCTCGACAATCTTCTCCAGCGTCGCCAGTAGCCGACTCTCCTCCAGCCCGTCAATCCATTTCCTCATCTCGGCCCTCCTCCCGGCATCCTGCTCCTCGAGAAAGGCGACCACGACTTCGCGGCGCACAGGAGCTGCAGAGACAGCAGCGGCGACGGGGACCCCGCCGCCTGCTGCTCTACTCTCAGGAGCCTGGCTGACGGCCTCATCGGGCCCCAGGTGCTGCCAGTAATACTCCCAGATCCACACCAGCGCTTTGCGCGCGGCGGAACGCAGCTTCGCGAGAGACGGCAACGTCTCGTGCGTCGCCTGGTGCCGCAGCTCGACAAAGGTCGCCGGCAAGCCAATAGTCTTTGCCACCGAGTACATGCTCAGTTTGCGTTGCTTATCCTGATGGCCGTCCAAGAGCCCAGTGACGAACCTAGACGAGAGAGTGTGTAAGCAAAACAGACGATCGGCAGACGGTGACTTTGAGCATTCAAGGGGTGGTGGTGTGCCTGAGTCGGCAGAGTATCTAGGTAGGTATCCTGGAGGCTCAAGCAATGAATGACCTTGGCAAGACACTCGCAAGCCCTCACTTCAGTGGCTCTTGAACCACAGCCGAATGACCGCAGGGTGAGAAACGAGCTCTGGCATTCTCGATTGCGGCGACGGGCCCGTAGGAAGTTTAGCATGCCTCCAGCAACCCAAACCAAGCTTCCCCCGATGCCAGGAACGTCCGTCAGATCATAGCTCCCAAGTGCACCGCTGGCGCGAGCCAAACAAGGTGAGACACCCAGGTGCAAAACCACGCCGGCTTGCTGGAAATCTTGGGGGGGAGGGGGCGTGGGCGCTGGTCGGCGCGGTGTGCGTGTAAGTGAAAGCCTGTCTGGTGTCTGTGGCTTCCACCAGTCGCGCAGATCAGGCGATTGTTGGTGGCCCCTTCAGACGGGACCCGACTCGGGTGTTGGTCTGGGCAGTGAGAGTGAAGGGGGCAAGGGGCGCTTCAACGCCAAAAGGAGAGACGGCGTCGCGGGTTATGAGAGGGGGGCGTGTGTGTTGAGGGATGAGTTAAAATGACAAAAAAGTCAACCAAAGATGTGAGATGTGAAATGCGCCGAAATCCAAATGTAGAGGTGACAAAAAAGAAAGGCAGCCCAGATCCCTGGTGGATTGGGATTGTTTCAAGCCACTCTGCAAGACTCCAAAGGCAGAAGAAGGGGAGGAGGGGGCGGATAACGGAACGTAAAACGCCCCAAGTACCGGTAGGCTTTCCTCTCTCACTGGCACGCCGCACTTTGAAATTGGAACCAACAAATGACCCTTTCTGCCCTTGAGCTGATGGTGGAATACAAAAAAGAGACAAGTGACATGAGAGAGAGAGGAGGGAGAGGGAACTCTAGAAGCCCAAAAACGTACCGACTGAAGGCGGCGGCATAAGCAGCGCGGACGGCGTAGGTGCCAGCGCCGCCCTTGCTCTCGGCGTCGCTGAGGATGGCGGCCGTCAGCAGGGCCGTGGACTCGACCATGTGCGGGCAGTTGCCGCGCTGCATCCACATGGACACCCTCGCGACGGCATGGTGCTGGTCGCTGCTTGGGGTCGTCTTGCCAGTGTTGGGGCTTGTTGGTGCTGCTGGATTTGACGATGGCGTCGGCGTTGGTGCTGGTGCTGGTGCTGGCGCTTGTGCTTGTGCTTGTGCAGCCGTTCCTCGTATCCAAGACCTTGTTGGGGTCTGGGATGCGGCGGCCGCGGACGCTGATATTGCTGCCGTACCACTAGCTTGGGCGGGTGTGGGTGTTGAAGTTGATGCTGCTGCTGCTGCTGCTGCTGCTGCAGACGCTGGGGCAGCGGGATAGAACTGCTGGCGAACCTTGAGCAGCTCGCGGCGATCGCGCCACGGCGTCAGGATGTACTGCACCATGGCCGGGTGTGTGTAATGTGCCGGGTGTGGTGTTGAACTGCAAGTGTGTGTGAGTGGGTGTGCGTTTTGGTGTGGTGTCTGTCTCTTCTGCGCATGTGTTTGTTTGTGTGTGAGGAGTCTGGACGGCCGGCCGGGGAAGAGAGAGACCTGCTGGATCCAATGCTGTCCTGGTGCTGTGCGCGTACGTACGGTGTATCCAGATCCGCCTCGTCAAAGGTAGCTTTCCTCGACCGGAACTGCTGTGCTTGCGTTGTGTGCTAAGGCGCCCAAAGCAAGTTCGACTCGCACGTTCCCGTCCGTTTGTCTTCTTTCCAGGTATTGTCTGGGGGCCTTGCTCTCGCCCGTCTTGTCTGTCTAGAACTCTAGTTGACCCTCAGAGGCTTGACGACTTGGGATGTTTCAGGCCGCGTTTGTCCTCTGTGTGGGACCAAAAAAAAAAAAAAAAAAAAAGGAAGAATCCTGCCCTTTCGTTCTCTTGGTTTCGTTGCCTGGTGTCGGTGGGCGCTTGCGGCGTTTGCGTTGCGATTGAAGCTTTCTTGCGGGTTTGCGCAGCATCAATGATGAACGACTGGACTCGCTCGTTTTCCCAGACGAATACCCGAGAGAGCCGAATGGGAAATCGTCTGATTCTTTCTTCTGGACCGGTCCAGTCTGATAGCGGGTTAGGTTTCAAGGTCTGGTGAGGAAGGATATGGGAGAGACGAAAAAGACATGAGGTTGAAAAAAGTTCAGTTTTGGGGAAGCCGCAAAAAATGTTCACACTGTAAAATTCCCCGATTAGTATCGACTGGCGGCCAACCATTTCACTACTCACGACTTGACCCTCATCGCACTCACACGCCTCCCTCACTTCAGTTCACTCACACCCGGCAGAAACACAAATCAGGGGCAAGAAGCATCATTCCATTCCATTCCACGCGGTCAACATAACCCACCTTCGTCTCTATCCGTTGGCTCCCCGTTATTGGTCATCAGACGAAGTGAACCTCTCTTGGAAATTCCTCCAACCTTGAAATGTCACTTTCATGAGAGGTATCTGACCAGGGCACTTCGTGTGCACCTGGACTCTATCTCTCTCTCTCTCATATCGGCAAGTTGAGATGAGTTGCCGCTGCATCCTTTGGCCCATCATCACAAGCCAGACAGACAATCTGAGCATTCTGGACACAAGTCCCCCACGCCTTCACTCGGTCGACCGAATGCTGCATGATCCTACCCTGTTCTCCTCTCCAGCTTTACTTTCAAGACACGAGTAGGCAACAATGTGGGAAAATTAGGGGTAAACCAACCCAACACACATTGTGGACACGTCAAAGCGTTTTCTATTTTCCCCAGTGAACAATGTCTAAACTTTTACTATGTTTCTCATCAAAGCTCAACTGCTCATGCTACTTACACGACAGCTAAACCCGGTAGGTAGGTACACGCACACACACACACACACCATCTCAACTCAAGAACCCTAAGACAAGGTCTTCTCGATGAGGTAGATGCCGTACTTGTCCTTGAGCTCCTTCATAATGGGGTCGTTGATCTTGGAGTTCATGGGCGCGAGCACACCGCGCTCGGCAATGGTGCCGTTGAGCACCTGCTGGACGGCGACACCGCAGGGTACGCCGACGAGCTTGGCCATGGCCGAGTAGCCCTTGGGCTCGCCGTACTCTGCGAGCGTCGACGTACGCGTCTCGCGCGAGCCGTCCTTGTGCTCAATCTCAAACTTGTGCTGCAGCATGACCATGTCGCGCTCGCCCTCCTCGAACTGCATCTTCTTCTCCAGCGTCGCGCACAGCGTGTCAAGCGGGTTGCCGCGGGGCGTAATCTTCTCGTCCGAGAAGACGCCGATCCACCGCAGGCCGCTGAGAATGCGCTGCTTGTCCTCGGGGGACTCGAACTTGGCCTTGGCGACGATGGCGGCCTCGAGGTCGCTCTCGTTGCTTGACGCGGCGCCGACGACGGCCTTGGTGGCGTCCTTCCACGCGATGGGGCTGGCGAGGGTCTCCTGGGCGGCATCCTCGAGGAAGCCAATGTCGACGAGGACCTTGATGAACTGGGGGAAGCCCTGGTAGCGGAGGGTGCCGCGAACAATGGTCTGGGCCTCGGGGATGTTGTAGCGCTCCTTGTAGGGGGTCGAGTCGCGGTTGGGGTAGGCGACGAAGGCGTAGCCCGGGTAGATGAAGTAGGGCTTGGCGGTGGCCATGAGGTCCTTGGAGGAGACATCGACGATCTGGCCGTCCTTGTAGTACTTGGCCGCGTTGCGGAGAGCGAGAAGGACGCCGCGGGAGGACCACGAGAACTTGTAGCCGAGCGGGTTGTCAGAGGCCTCGGGGGCGGGGAGACCGCCGCAGTAGGAGAGGAAGGACAGGATCTTGCCGCCCTCGCGGTGGACCTCTTCAATGGTCTTGACGGCGTAGAGGTGGTCGATACCGGGGTCGAGACCGATCTCGTTCATGACGGTGATGCCGGCGTCCTTGGCGGCCTGGTCCAGCTCCATCATGGCGGGCGAGACATAGCTGGTGGTGACGACGTGCTTCTTCTGGCGGATGGCCGACTTGATGACGGTCGCGTGGAAGGTGTAGGGGATCAAGCTGATGACGACGTCGTGCTTGGCCACCTCGGCGTCGAGAGCCTTGTCGTCGTTGACATCGAGAGAGATGGGAGTGGCGTTCTTGACGCCCTCGGACAGCTTCTTGGCGGACTCGAGGGTTCTGCAGGCTGCGTGTTGGTGATATGATTAGTTTTCAATGATTCCGTATATAGAAGTAGAAGACGGGGTGCCTTGATATCTGGTTCAGATGGGTTGGGAGGAGGAAGAGGAGGAGGAGCTCGTGGTGGGAAGGGGAGCTTCGTACCGACGGTGACGGGGATTCCGGCATCGCTGAGGATGTCAAGCGTCGGCCGGGTCACGAAGCCCGCGCCGAGCATCAAAACGCTCCTATCATGATCAATGCATTAGCGACTGGATTGTCTGGTAGTGAGCATTGGGAGGTGTCGGCCTTACTGGGATGCCATCTTGGAATTCAACTCGTTGATGATGATATCGTAAGGGAATTTGGTTGTTTGGTTATTTGCAACTTTGGGTTTGTCTGTGAGTCAATCCAGGTTCCAGCAACAACACAGCAGCGAACGAAGGAGGGGTAGCCAAAAAAAAAAAAAAAATGGGAACCCACCCGACTCGAATTGACAATTGACGGGAGAGAAGCCGAACTGGTGCCCAATATTCTCTCAATGTCGTAATTCGCGATTCGTGAATCGACGGGCAAAGGAAAATTTCCAAAGCATCCATGGTGGGGTAAAAACTGCCAAGTCGATCCGATAACGGCCGCTCCCCCTCACCTCAGTGCTGGACGTCTGAAAGAAGGTTCACTCAGTTCACTCACTCACATCACTCACTCACATCACTCACTCACTTACTCACCACACACACACACACACACACACACACACACACACACACACACACACCCAAACAGAGGTGGTGGGCAGCACACAGAGAGAGGCAGGTGCATAATCGGTATTCGTACGGATACTTCGCACAGTACAGTGAGAGAGGGAGGTGGCTGGGTGCTGCTACCTTGGGTTGGGTGTGCGGCATAGGCATTGGCTGCGGTGGCTACGGTGAGGTCACCAAGACAATTTCCAGGGGCCACGGGCGGGGTGTTTTGCGACCTGGCAGGGCTGGCCAGAACGGCGGGGGTGGGGAGCCTTCTCTCCTGACTGATTGGCCAACTGACGAAATGTGACAGGGGAAGCATGGACCCACATGCAGCTCATGCCATGCCTCGACAGGGGTGCCGTTCGGGAGCCTCTTTTTCGCTTATTTTTAGTGTCCGCGTTGACGATTGCACTTCCAATTCCCCATTCGATTCTGTGTTGGTGCAGCTGCGTTGCAACTCCTAAAACTGCGTGGCGATTGTTGCTCTTGATCGATACACGTAGTCACGTCAAGGTCCGAGGAGAAACAGATTTGTGTCTTGTTTGTTTTTCGCTTTACGCGTTTTGATTGTTTCTATCTAGGCCTTGCCATGGGCCTCTTCCTTTTGCGACGCCAGGGCCACAGATTTGGCCCATGCTTCCATCTTTGGGTATTTGTCTTTCCTTTGATCTTTCTCCCCTCTCTGACATGAGGAGCATACCTAATGCTCCATGGTCCCAAAGATCCCCAAGTCCCGTTTTTCGTGTTACGTCTTCTTGATATCATACATAGTCTACAGGTTGTCGTCATAAAAATCATAAAACGCTTGCGCTGGTGTTGTAACGTGTAAGAGTTGTTCTTTGGTGTTGACCGTGTCATTAATCCGAGTCCTCGCCATCGGCGTCGTCCTGGTCATCCTCATCCTCGTCGTCGCTCTCAGGAGGCTGCCACGACTCTTCCAGCTTCAGGCCCTTGCCCGTACCCTCCAGAGGGCGGAAAGATGTGCCCAGGAGCGAGGACATGGCAGAACGAGATGTGTCGAGTTGCGGGTCCTGATCGTACTTGTCGGGAGCGTCGTAGAGTCCCATGCCCACAAGGATCTCTCCCTCCTCCTCAGGCTCATCGAGGGGTTGATAAGGGATGGTGTCCTCATTTGGTACAATGGGTTGGGGCTGCTGGGCCTGCGGCAGCGTTTCGGGAGTGGGCGGAGAGGTGCTAGTGAAGCCATGCATGTGGTGCGAGTTCCAATGCGTCGAGGTGGAAGATGGTGTAAGATCCGGGAGCGTAGTTGGTAGAGATGGGAAGGGCTCAGCGTAGCCGGTTGTGTCTGATGAAACATAGGCCGGCGGTGCTTGATGAGATACGTCCCAACCCTCAACAGGCAGGTAGTTGGATCCATCATATCCTCCAAAGGGGAGTGAGAGAGGGGAAAAGGAGGCAACAGGGGAGGTGTTGCACGAGTAGGCCGCCGGTGTTGGCGGGAATTGCTGGTATACGTGATAGCTGTCCGTGTCGTATACCGAAGTGACAGGAGGGAATGGGTATTGGGCCATGCTCTGAGGGATGGCCATCTTCTGTTGTTGAAAGGTCGAAGGGTGCCAGCTAAGGGGACGACTCGGTCGTGACTGAGATCCGTAGTCGGGCATCGGAACTTGGTCCATGGGCTGCTGCCTCCGCCTCGCCAGATTTCCATCGTTCACCACAGTTCTCCTCCTTGCCTGCATGGCTGCTGAAGATCTCGGGCTGTTGCTGGCGCTGGTGGGCTTGGCTACACGCATAGCTCCTGTGTTGCGTTGTCCGTTGGAGCCTCTAGATAGTCTCCGTGACGCCTGGGAGAGAGCCATTTGTCTCGACAAGTCGTCCAAGAAGGTATCGGTGTGATAGGGTGTGGGAACAGGCCCGGGGAGAACGCCTCCCATGAGTGTGGGCATCATCTTGTTTGATGTTGTGTGTGTATGTGTGTACAGTTGGTGCCGGAGAGGGAGGTGTTGTGGTGGATAGAGATGAGGGATAAGAGTAGGAGAGGTTGCAGGTTGTTTGTTTCTTAACTAAAAGTCCATGGCGAAAGGATATGCGGTGGATGATGGTGATGATAAACATGATATGGAAAGGACGGGCTCAGCCCAGGCTATGTATGGACAAGAGGTCATGGTCCCAAAAGCCCCAAGGGATTACAGTAGCGAGAAAAGACATGGGTGATACTAGATCGGTCTTGAAGGATAAAATCAAACCTTAGCTCCATTATCCGTAGAGGAGCAAAGTCGTCCAAGGGTGCGGAGTGGGCCAACAAGTAATTCAGACTACGAATGGTTTGGCATGTGTGTGTGTGTGTGTGTACTTCGTACGAGGACTAGGAGGCAGCGAGCGCGGGTTGTGTGCATGGGTGAATGGGATGTTGATGGGAGGTATCCGCGCAGCCAGCGCAGGCGGCAGGCGTCGCAGGCGTGGCTGGGCAGGGGAGGTACGTACCGTTTCTGTCTGTCTTCGTGTGAGCGAGCGTCTGGGGGATGGGTGTGTGAATGTGGACGCAGTATGGAGTAGGGCACGACGAAGGTGTCTGGGACTCAAGGTACACTACGCTAGGTGGTAGGGGGGAGACGGCCAGCGGGCTGCGTCATATGAGTTGAGCATGCATCTCACAACGGAGCGTCGTGCATCTTGGAGTCGAAGCAGACGAGGCGGGTGATTCCCTTTGGGGCTCGAGGTACTTCCTACGATAGGTACCTCCTACACGACCGCTGGGGGGGGGGGGGGGGGGCATGGGGGGAGAGGGGAGGAGAGAAAGAGGAGTAAGGAGGAGGAGGAGGACGACGACGACGAGGCACTGGCACTGGAAGGGAAGCATGGGACGGACTTGTCGATAGCGCTGGTGTGCGTGTGGGCAAAGCAGCGGTGGGTGTGGATATGGATGCGAGAGTGGATGAGTGGTTGATTGCCTCGCCTCGCTGGTCTCGCTGCCCTAGTGTGTCCTGGTCTGGCTCAGATTGTGTGGCCCTGGCGCACCGTAGTGTGCAAAGTACGGGCACGAGTGGACACTCAGGCACTAGACTCTGGACTCTGGAGGAGGGATGGACGGTTCAATAGATGGATGGATGGATGGGATTACTGTGCTAGGGAGGGAGCGTCGGCGGTGGGTGGACGAATGGAGTGTGGAGTGAACCAGGTTGTGGTGGTGCCAATTCGGCGCCGTGTGCTGGGCAGGATTCAGGACTCACTGCTCAGTGGTGCCGTGTGAGTGAGGAGAGGAGTGAGTGAGTGTCGCGTCTCCATTGTTTGGGTAACAGAACCTGAGAAGACACCTCAGATGGGACGTGAACGGCCCTTGGGTACGGAGTACATACACTCCTGCGTTCCCTCCACCTCGCACCGCACCATGCCAAACCGACTGTGACTGCAGTGCCATGGCGGGATGCAAGGCAAGGTTCGAAAATGTCGTCCAAGACAAAGTGCCTGTGGGACAACGGCACGCAAGGTATCGTCCTGGTCAACGGGTGCGCAGGCACAGGGCAGGCCGCAGGGGCCAGGGGAGGGCATATGATTCTCATTCTGGGCAAATGGCTGGGTCTTGGGTCTTGGGAAGTTGGGTCTTGGGAGGGAAGACCGAGAGAGTCTACACTAGCACTTCCCGGCAGGTACCCACGTACTTCCTGCGGTAGGTACATACTCCGTACAGTGACACCCCCAGAGATGGATCTCGGTCCATGGAAAGGGGGGGGGGGGGGCCTCGCGGGCGGCGGGCGGTCAAGGGCATAAGAAAACCAAAGAGAAGATGGATAGAACGTCTTTGGCCCCAGAAAGAACCGCTCGGCCCAGGCGCTCACGCCGCCAGGTCGGAGTCTGGGACTCTGGGAGAAATGCTATCCCTGCTTGCGTCTCGTGCAACACGACTGGGCTGCGGTACGGATACCTTCCAGGTTGTTGTTCTGAGGCACGGGTACGAAGCACCGCCAGCACTGGTGCCACTAGAGAAGAACGCGCCGCCTGCCTGTCCAGGGACCCAGAAGTTAAGAAGGGGTCCAAGGGATCCCACAGGCGGCAGGTCAGTCTCGTTGCTTCGACCCTGAGGGTGCTCTTATTGCATTGAGTCGTCCAAGTCCCGTCACCGTCCGACCAGTCGTAAGCCGCCATCGAGGATGAAAACACCCCGGCACGCTTAGTTTAAACTGACGGGTCGGATGAGAAGGGGCGTTGCAGTACTAGCCCGTCGGGGATCTATGGAACCCAAGGGGAGAAACACCCGCTCCTGGGAGTCTGGGACCTTGAATTCATGACCGTCATCCCTCCAAGGCTCCAAGCCTCAAGCCTTCCCTTCCCCTAGCGCGTCAAGATGGGCATGTGCATCTTGCGGCTTGCCATGCATGTTTTGGTGGGTTTTGAGAAAGTGCCACCCACCTGGCTGCCTGCCATTGATGATTGAAAACGCACTATCCGTACGGAGTACGCATACGTACACAATGGTGTGTGACCGATAGACCCTCATGCCCGACAGCTTGGGCAGGAGAAACTTGCATCTCAACCACAACATGCGCCTTTGATACCGAGACAGCTGATGACTGGCAATATCGTGGAAATAAGACAATAATGATTCGCCTGTTGCTTAGAGCCCACACTGCACTCGGAAGCATCGTCGAGTCGTTTGGTTTAAAGCGGAGCGAAAAACTTTCCAACTATCGTACGAAGTATGGTCGATACCTCGTACTCCGTCCAGAAAGATACAAGGTGAAAAAATTAGATGCGGAAAGCACAGACTTTGGAATGCCTACGATCTCCATCGGGGTCCTTGGTCTCAGGGCGCAGAAGAACTTTGAGAGAAGCACGGAGATGGCTCCGCATGAGGGAAACCCTGGTCGGGCAGTACGTACTCGTTCGAGAAAGCAAGCCGCTGCCAGGTAGGTTATCGGCAGAACCTTAGCAGAGGACTATGATGCGATGTACAAAGTGCGGAGTATCCATATGCTTCTATCGCTTCTCCAACGCCGTACGCGGTATACGAATACCTAGAAGCAATGAAAACCCGCTTCGCGCTCGATACCCAGTTCAAATGGCGAGACACCAGATTGAATCTGTGGTTCTTGTTTGACTCACGTATGTCGACCAGACCATGCTTTTTGGCGTCTACCAGACTACCATGAAAGAGGAGGACTGTACCCGTAGTACCTGACTGGGCATCGGCATTGGTCGTGAGAGATCGTCCGGGTGCGTGAGCAATACCTCGTCTCGATACCGGTAGGAAGACGTCTGGACGGAGTACGTATGTCCATGCCGTACATGAACAATTTCGAGCCCTGTTGAGCGACAGCTCGAGGTACGAAACGGAACGTTGATTGTTTGCAGCCATCCTTGGGGTGGAATGGGGCGTATGCCAAGGAGGTGTGGGAGCATTGACTGACAAGCCGCTTTCCAAAAGGATGGTAGGTGGGACGGATGGGAGCGGATCACAGATCTCGCTCAACCGACGGTGTTGGTTTGCAGTTCTGCCCACACACCCCTTTGGCCCTTGAGGGTGGCTTGCGGAGACAGCGGCGAGGGACGGTACGGATACGTATATTCGAACGCACGCGCAGGATGTGTGTGAGTTGCGGCTTTGGGATTTAGGTGTGGGTGGTGTGGGTAGCGTATCGCTTTCTTGTTCTCCGTCAAGCGTCAACAATAGACGAAATGGGGTCGCAGTTTGTACGGCGTAGCCGTACGGATAGGGTGATATCAAGTGGCAACTGCGGGAGAACAAGGCAAAGGCCAGTGACCGAATTGACAGAGTCGCCGCAGGTCATCTTATTCCCAAGCCACAGCCGAATAGCAATGCTCCACACGCCGGGCACTACAGCTTATGGGCTACCTAGGCAGTCTCATGGTTTCGCTAAGACTTTCTTGGTGAGGGAGAATAGCTTTGGGATGCACCCTTTGATTCTTGTGTGGTGCAAGCTGAATCTGATGAAGAGCATGAATCGAGCGGAGGAGGTGGATGCGCATGTCCTGGATGGGAATAGAGTGGTGGCAGCCTAATAGCCATGGGCCGTGTTGTTGCAGTGAGTGGTGAGTGGGTATTAGTTGATGGCGTTTTTTTTTTTTGATGCTATCCGGAGACGCAGGCGGCGTACGAAGTACTGTGTTCACCCTCATCAGTCATCCCAAGGGGTCCGGCCGAGATTGTTTTGATGGCCCGGTCATGCAAGCATAGGCTCGAGTCGTAAACGTGGGTGTCATCGGTCATGAGGGGAGGAAAAAAAAGTTGCGTAGACGGGTCTATCGATATATCCGCATCGCGGGGGCTTCAGCCAGTGAGATGTCGAGGTGGCAAACCGTCATGGTTCCTCCACAGCAGGTTCCATCCATGATCATGTCGAGATGGGGGAGGCAAGCATGGTCTGTTTCTTGGTTTCGGCAAGCCGGTGAGGGCAAAGATGTGTTGGCAACATCAGCCTGACTCCCAAGTGGGCAAATTGCGGCAGATTGGAACGTGGGATTGCGAAACCTCCGATATGGATCATGGACGTCGATGCAAAGGATGCGAGAGACGCTCACCCAGCCAGCGGTTGAGTACTAATTAACAAAGGCAGTTGGTCGGTGAATTAGAGGACGGTTCAGGGTTGGGCGGCATCACTCAGCCCGCTTGGCGAAGAGAGTACAGTGTACTGACTGTTTAGCTGGTTAATACGTTGGGAAGAAAGTATACCGGTACGCAGCCATCTCCATTTTCTTTCCGAGCTTGGCCCCTCCTTCGTGCCTGGTCGGTACTGTGACAAGAGTCAGCTGTCACCCAGGGCGTGGCCGTGGTGTGCAAAGCATGAGCTGTAGGGTGCCGAAGGACCAGATTCCACAGGCATGGGCAAGGTGTCTGGGTGCAATGAATGAAAAAAGACAAGAAAAAAAAGAAGAAAAAAAAGAAAGGCGGAGAGAACAAGAGGAAGATGAGGGGGGGTAAAAAATGCCAAGCCGGCGAGGAGCGGTTCATGGCAGGCCGCAGTGGTAGCAATGTGGCACAGGCTGAAAAGAATGGAAGGAGAAGAAAAGGTATGAAGATGCGACATTCGTACCTCGCGACTCCGCGAGGAAAGAGAAACGGGATGAATGTGCGACAAGGTAGTCGATACTCAGGATTCAGTGACACATACATAGAGGCTGATGTAGCCGGAACCTTGATCATAACCCCCGTAGTCCAAGACTCCTAGGAGCTCCATCCCCCGGAAATATGAGAAGGAGATAAATCCGATCCACTCCGCTCCGCAACAAATATAGCATTGCTGCTGCCGCCTGTACTGTATGGATGGACACTATCCGTACTCCGTACAAAGTATTGCGCATAGGTAGTAGGGCGATACAACAGCACGAACTCGGAACAGCAAGGGCCAGCAGGGACGGGCTCAAGTTTGGGAGGGCTCCTGAGTCCTGACAGCGCAAAAGTAAATAGAGACAAACAAGGCGAGAAACAGCATGGGTCCAGACACAACAAGGCTCAAAGGTGGAAAGAAGGAACCTAGGCCAGAAAAGGTTCCAGGGGCACAGGCCGGGGCCAGGTAGGTAGGTGGTAGGAACGGATCCTGTGTCACTCTGTCTCCGTACTCCGTAAGGTAGTTGGAGTCAAATTGGAGACCGCCAGTTCTGTCCTGCGACCTGACTTGCCGTAATTGTCTAGCGTCTCCAGACTCGTCAGTTGCGCGAAGTCAAAGTGGGCAGCGCCAGACTGGGTGACTGGACCTTTTGGAGAAAGAAAGAAAAAGCCAAAGAGGAAGGGAAAAAAAAATAGATCCGGAATCGCCCCTTCCCATCCGAGCAGAAGTCAAAAGGCGGCTGCAGTTAATAACGGCCCCCACCCTCTCCGCCGTACCCAGGCACAGAGATTGAAGGAGGAAGTACAACTAAAGTGGACGGCGATAATGATATTCCACGCATAGGTACTCCGTATGGACTACCTTAGTGCATCCATACCTACTTGATTATCATCAGTGATCGTTCCAAGCGTCGAAGCGACAGAGCAAGGAGAGGATGAGGAACAGAATGTTCAGAGAGACCTCGCGATGGTTACGTAGTGTACATTGCATCGTCTCACATTCTGATAATACATACACTCAGGTACACGTAGCGTCTCAGAACTACCTACCTAGGTTGGTGGGCACAGCAAAAATGACCGAGATGCACCGCAGTAGCTTCTGGATATTGAGGATGGAACTTGAGGTTGGTAAATGGGGAAAGTAAGTCAGCAGTACGTACCCGCACCACCAAGTTTTGAGCGGCTGCCCATAGCGCCAAATGCACTTGATCTACGTAAGCAGGTAGCCCGTACTCAGTACCTCAATCTGGCCGCGCATCTGGGTGCCACGGAGCGTACATAGTACACTCACTACGTGAAGGGGCCGCAGTGCAAGGGATGGCGCCAAAGAGGACCAGAGCAGAATCACGTTTTATCCTCAGGCAGCAACACCACCCCAGGAAGCGAACGCGCCGAGTGGGGCACTTGCTTTGCTGTATGCCGCTAAGGCTAAAGAGACTCAGAGAGGGAAAGGACAGGCAGTACGGTGTACGGAGGACGTACTTCGATTTCAGCCTCAGGCATGAAGCCATCAAGCCTGGTGGACTGATGCATTCCGCAAAGACTCGAGGGAAGCTCCAACAAAAGACTTCAGCTAACGTAACTGGGCACCACGCTTTTTCCACGTACCACGCACCACACCTTGACCAAACTGTATTCGTACGGATACCAACAATCTGCATGCCCGTCACTGGTGTATCCATGGTCCATGCCATAGATGGAGACGCCCGTCATCTGAGGCGAGCCCGCGATTGGAGAGTTTGGACCCATGCACCACCACAACTCAGTACCCCGTCCCTAGGCCCGGTAATCTTGTCTCTTCAGGCCATGTTCCAACTTTCAGCGCTTCTTTCGACCCTGTCAACGGAGCACACCAGCACATTCGGTGCTCAATTTCGCCGACAACTCCCCCAAGCCGTGCCCACCCTTCCTTCTACAGGGTACTCCGTATACGCTTCCCTTCTGAAAGGGGGAGGGGGGGACGCGCCCCTTGCGGTGGTGTGAACGCCAATACTGGGTCAATATCGGTGGCAATTGGGCAAGCCGACGGCCTGTGACAGCGAACTCTTCTTCCGCCTTGGCTGCCCTGTGGTATCAGGCACCGTGCCCCGAGCCCACGACTCCCTATTGCGCTGGGAACTGGGCTCCGGCCAATCTCCCTTCACGCCTCGCCTCGAGAGCTGTAGCAAGCTCCTCCGGACATGGACGCGCATTCAAGGTCTGATGGGCCAGGTCATTGGTGTTTTACCTGTCATTGCTGACTCTTCAAGGCAGCCTTGCTCAAAAACTCTAGAATTCAAAATCGAGGAAATTAGCAAACATCAGACCGAAAATGCCGTATCAACACTATGCAATCTGGAACCAATTTACAAAGCACTCCAAAACCTGATATCAACCTATCAGCAACCCTCTGGGAGTTCGAGGAGGAGAGGGCCGGATGTCAGGCACACGCTGGGCATTGCGGGCTGTGCAGGAAATACGGTCCAGCTGGCCCAACGGGTTCATTACAGCCTCCTTGTCTACGGAGTACGGATGGTGCGCACTACGAAGTACCTCACAGCTCATCCATGATCTAGGTACTCCGTACTCCGTCGGTGGTCGACAAGCCAGGCAACTTCCGGACATTGCAGGCAAGGCTTTAGCATCCGCTCTGGCAGACTGGCACGCCGCACGCTGGCTCTTGGGTCCGCGTCCCACCTGTCCCTGTTCTCAGACAGCTTCGAGAAGCTTGAAGTGGGCATGCCGCAGGTGATCCGAGATCGAGGGGCCTTATCCGCTCCAGGAGTCTAGAAGAGAGATTATGGTCAGGGAATCCACCGTGTCGATAAAGCGGTGGACATCAGCGGAGGAGAGGCCCTGCCACCCTGGTACTCCCCAGGACCAATTTCCACGTCACTCCTCCCTTTGGGTGGCCAGCGGTTATACTGCGTAGATCAGCTTCCGCAGATGCCATTCCTCTCAAAGCCTACCCTGGCCTGCCCGGCAAGCCCTGAATCGCATCAACCATCAAAGCACAGGCATGACAGGGACTCCAGGCCAAGGTACCACGTTGATATGGATCAACAACACTCGCCGGCTCGCGTCCGCTCATTCGCTCCCTCGCCTCGTTCCAATCTCATGCGGCAACAGCGTGAGCTTCCCTCGATGGTTACAGCGGGTGACGTCCACCTGTGGCTCTTTGTCTCTCCGTTTCTGTGCGCCCTCGGCCTTCCTCTCGTGGACTCCATTGGCGCCATCGACTTTATCGTCCTGTTCCGCTGGGCTACCTTGGCCAACACTGCGAAGTACTCCGTATGGAGTGCATAAGTACGGATATACGGGACTGTGGCGCTGTGGATACATATCCAGGACAGGCGTCCATTTCACATCCTCGCATTTATTTTACCAGCAGCCTCAGCAGCAAACCCACTTGAACCCGAGGGCCTCCCTCTTCTATGCTTTCCCACTTCGCTAGGAGTGGCGGCCTGGACTGTTCTATTTAGTCATTCTGTTGCTCAACATGCTCATTTCCAGGCATACCACCAAACCCACCAGCCATCGGCGTCCGCTTGGCGCCAGGCGCCCTTCAATTCAGTCTTACTTTACGGATACCCATGCCCAGCCGTCGGGCAACCACTTCAGCGTGTGTTGGGCCGCACTTTGGAGGACTCCCTACTGATACATTGGTCACTCGTGGTTGAGAGTGCCTGCTAGTCCAACCGCCAGTGACTCTTTGGTGTGGACATCTTTGTTTTTCGATCAACAACTCTGAAGGACTACCACGGCAGGCTTGGCCTCGACATCCGTTACAAATACAGTGCGCCGTACGTATAGCATGGTCGCACCGACCCTGACAGTCCTGACTCAACTCGCTTCTCTCCACTTGACTGGTTGCAGTCAGGTTAGGTTGGAGGTTGGAGGTTAGTGTTTCCTCCGACATGATTACCAAAGATGCATATATGCATCCGGTTTGGACCCTCCAGATACGTATCCGTACGAAGTACTTCGTACACGAGGTGCCACTCGAGTCTCAGTTTTCTGTCAGGGTGCCGGCAGTCCGCCAACACGTATCCCTGACGCGCTCTCCTCTCCAGACTCCAACAAGCGCATCGAGCGGCAGGAACGCCGGGGACTGTGCAAGCCTGCGAATTGAACTCCGTAAGGCAATCATCAATAGGACTGGCCCGACAGTGTTTGACTGCTCACTCCCATCGGGATATCAGAAAGGGAGGGGGCCGGGGCTGGCTCAGGGTCTCCGCCTTCTTCGTGTCCTGCGGCTGCAACTGCTGCAGCGTGCACTCAGGCCGCACCTTGCAGCCTGCATACGCACCTAGGTATTCCGTTCTTTTGCGGGCTATAACGATAGTCTGGGCCTGGCCGCCCTAGGTTCACCCAAGCAGGGCCGCCTGGATCAGATGGGATGTGTGAATTCGCGACGCACACACGCACACAAGCACACGAGACACTTCGCACGTGACCTTGTCATCGCCTCGCTCGCTTTCATCGTTGGTTTTCCTTCCCTCTTCGTTTCATCCAAACGCCATCAGCGGTACGTGACCGAAGGCTTGCAGTCCGTAGGTGCCAAAGCTGTTCAAACTTCTAACTTTTCGGAACACGCCCTCTACCCCTCCCCAGTTGGTGACGGATCCCTCCCGTTTCCCGGCTGAAGTCTTCCTGGTCTGATCAGATGAATTGTCACATGAGAGACGGTGCTTGGATATCATCTTTGCAGCAACATTATCAGGTGTCACGCAAAGTTTACCGCCCAGCCCAGCTGCCTTGTCGCCCTCACACACCTCACCTTCATTTACCCTTTAACAACGAAGTACATCTGATGTCCGGCGCATGTCTTCCTGGGAAACCTGCCCCATGCTACCTCCAGCGTCACCCATTCCAACGTTTCGGCTGACGCTAAGTCTTGGGAACGTTCCACCCGCTTGATTGGCTGCATTGTTGGGCCAATGGACAGTAATGCTAAGTTTCGACGTCCTGCATTACACCGTCACGTCGAATCGAAGGCATCGTGCCGCGTGCATGCCTTTTTCCACCCAATATACTCCGTAGGCTTCGTCGATGCACACTCAACATCCCAGAAGCTTCCCGATACCCGGCGAGCTACCGTCAGACTTGGTTGAATCATCTCTGAAGCCTTGGCATCGCTTTCTACGCAGTACGCAGTATCTTACTCAGCAGTAGCACTTACCAAACTCCGTGGCCCTGTCCTGGTTTATGACCAAACCAGTGTACGGAGTATGCGTCACTTCTCTGCCACGTAATTGGCAACAGACCCTGGAGAGGCAGCATGCCGATCAACCATCCTGTCTCGCTACCCACTCAACCTTTGCGGGCGGTAGGAAGGCGCAAGTCTCGTTTCGTTGGTATTGCTAACGTCAGGTAAGGTAGGTAGGCCAACTGGACAGCCCTCGGTAATTCGAAAGTAGACGACGCCTTGCAAGCTGGTGGCCTTCAGGGTGGTGGACCACCAACTGCCTGGGAAGGCGAGATCTCTTCAATTTCCATCCCTCTCCCAAAACGTTTGACGAAACGGAGCCAGAAACGATCCGCTAGCGGTGGTGTGAAGCTTACGGGCGGAGGTATGGGCAATGATCTAGTCGGTCACTCCAAAACCCAGCCGATGCAATGGTGGCCCTAGGCTCGATACTCGACTTTTCTATGGCGGCACCGTGCCGCTTTCACCTATGTGTACGGATACCAGGTAGGTGCAACAACCCGCTGACAGAATAGTCTCGCGTTCAAAAGTGCCTCGTCACCTGGCTCACTCTCTGATCAGTGAGCACATATACTCTACTTCATGTGTCTACCCACAGGCTAGTGGCTCATGTAGTGCTCGCTCGCCAACTTTTCAGATCAGCATGGCGAGCCATGTCGAAGCGGCAACCCTGTGAGGTATGTAGACATAAGTGCGGAGACGACTGATCGGAATCGGCCTGGTTGCCGCCAAGTACCAACTGCTCTCCGTGTTTCTCTACGGATACAGGACACTACTGCCAACATTCCACTGATGGCGTTCGGTCACTAACATTCCCTCGGCTCATAGGGGGTGTATCGTGAGCCCTGAATGCCTTGAAACCTAATGCAACACTCTCTGCGCACATCCGCCGGCCTAGGATAGCATGATCTTCGGTGGAATACACTACACCACTCACCCTGGACCTTCCATCTTGTCCTTGGCAGCGGTGGCAGCGGTGGCAGCCAATTCAGCCAAGACTTTCACTTCGGCTCATCTATCTGGCTACTTGCACGGTACCCAGACCACTGCTGTACTATTCAAGGGCGGTCACACCCAGGCGAGATCTTTTCGAAGCCTGAGCCATTGAGCTCTGTCATTCCCTCTGGCCGGGTCACACGGCTACTATCCGTGGACCACTCCGAGTTGTCACAGATGTCGTCCATCGGCGGATCTTGTCTCCGACTCACCATCTCCCACCCAACATTGCGCATCACCGGGGCACTTTATCTGAAGTCTCGACCAAGTCGGGCTTACGCCTTTGGACTTCTCACGCCTCCGTCGATGATTCGATACTGACTAGGTACCACTACTCAAAGCCCACATTCCCTTTCACACGTTCCACTTCGGACAGCGAGTACATTCGTCCTTTTCGCGGCATCCTCTCTGTTGGTAACTGGAGTGATGAAAATCCCTCGCTCTCACGTACTAATACGAAGCGGTGATCAAGAGCATGAGGCAGGCTCCCTATCCCAGCCACATTCTCTTGGGGGTCGCCTGAGTTACCTATGGCCAACAGCTCTGTCTGCGACCTGTACCGGGCTCAGCCGCGCCACAGAGACGCGTAGCTGGTTGAAGCCCTCTCAGTTGACGACGAGAACGGCGACACGGATACGGTTCCTTGATGCCAGAAAACTCCCGTTTTCTCGGGCGGCTCGGTGCCTTTCGGACTGCAATCATCCCTCCTTCCCTGCGCTTCATGTGTCGGGACCAGGTACTGGAGGCCAGCGATCCCGTTCCTTGTCAGTCAGCGGAAGTCTGTCCGACCATATTTGGTTTCGTGCGCCAGGCCACTTTGAGGGCGTGGCTGGATAGACAAAAGCCAAATTTGCTTCCGCGAGATGATCGGCATGCAAATTTCCCCAATCGCGCACGATTGACGAGTCTTGGTCCCCGTCCAATGCATTATCCATACATCCGGATAGGTACCTGGGCCGTCTACGAAGCATTCGGTCTGGACGTGAACCAGACAAGAAAACCCGCACGCACGCACGCACGGTCAACACAGCTAGAGTCTGGCCGATCTTGACTTTGACTCCTCAAGTTCGATGCTCCAGCTCCACCGCCGACCTCAGCCATCTTAATACTCACTGCTTCAACGCTCAAAGCCGTATAGACCAGCATGGACGTACTGTAAGTACCTCGCAAGGGGGAAGGACAAAACATGGCGGTGTGCTTCACATTTCATAAGTTGCAGAGCTTTTCCATTGAATGCAAAATACAGCATTGAGTTGGAAGCATGAGTGAGGATGGCGCAAAGCAATTCCCGCCAGGAGACTACAATCCAACCCGTACGTTGCACAGAACGGGGCGTCAAGCTCTAGATGACTACCAAAAATGGGGTTCGCGACTAACTAGCAACAGCCGCATATCACTGACGTGTTTAATGCTAGTAAGGAGATCTTCCGGACTTCCAAGGTCTCACGGCGACAATATCACCGTCGAGCTAAATAAAGCCCGGGCGATGCTCGGTTGTTTGTGCTCAAGGGATGACCAACTGTGTCTTGTTCGGCATTCTTTGAGGAACACAATCAGGCGCCGGGCAGAGCAGTCAAGGCCTCGGTGAAACCGGGGCCTACCGACAAAAACACTTTAATGCGCAAAGCTGTCATGCCGGCTAGCCAGGAGTGCCAGGCTTGCAAAAGTCAGGGATATCAGGGGTCGGCTTTGGTGGGCCAAGCTCTATACATACTAGTACTAGGGCAGTCCGTCCTATGGTCTGTAAAAAGATAAAAATGAAACAGGACAGGGATAACAGCCTTCTCAAGGTCGCTTTGAGGTTGTCGACTAAGAACCCACCAACCCTCGAACCAGCCCTGGTAAGGTCAGGTCCACCAGATGATCTACTGTTCACGCGCGGGCCACCAAAAGAACCCCCTGAAGACTGATTGGGCGTTCTGCATGGATGGGGAACTTGACAGAAAGCACCGACCATCGGAACGATACAACGGGGTAAGACGGCGCCATCCACAGCCGTCCACTTCTTTGAGCAATTCAGAATCTCAGACTGTCCCCAGGCGGCTCGGTTCGCGAGAGTACGGATAGGTACGGATACAGGTATGTCTTCTCGACCCGGCGG